ATGGAAGTCTGGACAGGCTGGGCTGGCTATAAAACCAGACATGTTACTCGAGACTCACCGAAACGCCGTCTCCACTTCATCATTGCGCTGGAACCAAAGTAGCATGGCGAAAACTCGCCAATCACCTTGCTCAGAGGGAGCCACGCCCACGTGCACCGGAGAGAGGCCGCCAGCTGGGCGGGCTGCTTCAGTTCTGCAGGACATTCGCTGGCCGTGCACGATCACTGTGCCTCTTACAGCAGCACTCGCAGCCTACCTTCCCGACCTCCCCATCGAGTACCACGGCATCTGTCGCTCTTCTATTCACCGCAAGATTCGCCAGAGCTTGTGCGAACAATTGCGAACTCTACAGGCAGATAGCGCTGGCAGATATGTGCGCCCGAAAAGTTTGCTCATACGACTATGTCGTCGCAAGAGATCAATATCGCAGAATATCTGCCGAAGAATCAGCGAACTTAGACTGCAGGCTCGTCTGATAACCTCAGTACGAGCAAAGGGAGCAGGTCAATCGGTTTTTACTGGAGAGAAACTCAATTACCAGTCTTAAAGAGCTCAAAGAGTGGTACTCTTAAAGAGGAAGCATGGCCCACTTTGGAAATGTGCCACGTAGAACTGGCTGAACTCTAAACATGCAATGCCCAACCATTTCTTGACCTGGCGTGAGGTACAAATTGATGCATTTGCTATGGGTGTTTTGATGTTGTTCTCTGCATTCCTAATGCCAGTGTGCCCGTCCCGTCATAACACGATCGGTTGAGGTCCATAAAATGGTCATCGCCGAAAAAAGCAGGTTCCTCACTGAATTGGGCCTCAAGCAAAATCAGCGTATAAACTGACCCAATGTTGACCGTAACATCTAAACACCCTATTTTGACTTATTTGACCCGTTTTTTGCACGTTTACCTTCTGGCCAAGTAAATTACCTGGCAGTAAAGAATGCATGAATAACTTGTTGTTGCAACTCTGTGACTGCCAGTGTCAGTCGTTGCCTCATCGCTGTCAGTCGTGTCGCTGTCGACCTAGGCACTGCAGTCGCATGAGCTTGCAATGTGTCGAGTCGCGTCACATTCAATCACAATCTGCACCTAACCCGGCTTAACTCAGCCGAAAACTTTTCAGCTTCCGGAGAGAGCCCAAAAAAGGTCCAATGTACATTATCGCCGTTATAATCCGAATTCGCATTAAGTCGGCGCGCCCCGATAAAATCAGGCCGTTTTACTAACTGTACCAACCATCGCATATGCCATTCACATTGCTACACAGTGCTCATAATATTTTAAAATGTTACAGTATGTGCCATTAATTTTTTAGCCTGTCATCTGACAGAGTCAGCATGCAGCTTGTAGAATCGCTTGATCGTCGTGCGTCGTCCGTCCGTCGTGCGTCAACAGTTGCGGCACAAATCTTAACCGCTCGACGCACGCGTCTACGATATTCGCGGACGTGGGGGGTAATCCGCAAACGAGTTGGGATGTCGAAGCTGCGGGGTCATAAGCGTCAAGGTCAAGCAGTGTAAAGCGAAGGGCGGAACATCACTCCTTAACTTAAGCGTATAGGCGAGGGAAATGCTCAGAATTGCGGCACAAAATCTTAAGTGGCTCGACCTAGGCTCGTGATAGTCGCGTGTATAGCATCATGCGTAGCGAAAGCATCACTGTTGCGAAATTGGAGGTACAGGTCAAATGGTCAATGGGCACAGGGCAGCATTTTAGACATTTTCTGAGGCGCATGGTCTGACGGAAGCGATTGAAAAACTTTTTGGTTTCAGCGGCTGACCTAGCATTTTTATGGCTTTTAGTTGAAAGACCATGAAATGTCCCTTCTGCTGACATGCCGAAGAGTAAGTGTCGGATAACTTTTGACTCAAGAGGAGGGTTAAAACATGGATTTGTTGGACTGTTAACAAAGGAGTAAACTGCTTTTGCTGATTAGCAGCCCCTCCCCACCCCTGCCTCCCTCCCTCCACCCTCCCCCCGCCCTTCCCCACTCCCCCACCCCCCACCCTCCATCTGTTTTTTTTTTTTTTCTTTTACCTTTTTTTTTTTTTTTTTTTTTTTTTTTTTTTCCGATAGTGGGCGTGTCCTAACAATGATGTGTACTGCCAACTGGTGTCTGCCATAATTTCTGCGCCTAACAAATGTGGTAAGCTACGCCACCGACTGAAATTTGACGTTGTATAATCGTAGCAACAGACTCAGATGGAGGCCCCAGACGCTCTGCCGGCTCTTGTTATGAAATTGGCATTCCCTACAATGCCAAAAGATTTTTACTGCTAGGGGAACATGTCTTTACTATGTATGGCAGCATGGCGAAGCTCCCCTTCATTAAAGTGAAGCTTTGTTTATCGTATTGTGCTTGTAAAAAAGCGAATACTTGCCATAAATTTACTTCATGCTTCTCAGCATAGCTGAAGATTTAAACTTATTGTTGTAATCTTTTATGAGTAAACCCATGTGAAAACTATAGATCAAGTCTGATTAATATGCACTTATTTTACAAGGCCTAAGATAAAATATTGCTTGTTTCCCTTTACCGTCACCGACTCGCCAAAACGCCGCCTACTCGACACATTTATTTGGCCGAGTAAAACAAACCATAAAATTATTATCGTTTCGCCCCCAAAAAAAAAAAATCAAATTTGCTCCGCCAAAAACATATACACAAACAGAATAGTACAATATACATACATACATACAATATATATATATACATACAATCTTGTCGAAACAAAATAAAAAGATTTTTCACCTACCTACCTACTCGGTACCCTGAGAGGCGATGTAGCGTAAAGCTGCGGAACAAACAATTTTTGAAGGGGTGGGCCCGAATTACTTAGATTCGCCGTTGTGTGATTCGTCGATATCAATCAATGTGATTTATATGCTCTGCTGGGTACTATCTAATATGCTGGACCGTTTACCTCGCCACTCACTAAGAGTCTTAGGAGTCGCCTACTCCTACTCCCTAACCCTAACCCTAACCATATCAGATAGTATACCGCGACCGCACCCCAGCCGTACGCACCGGCATTACCTGGGGGACATAGCACCTTTAGTATGAGCGTACTTATATATTGACCTACTTGCCGGAAAAAAGCCAAATATGTAGCAAGTGCAGCCTTTCATGCGTTGACGAATCTCGCACATGCGCTGCAATTGCTGTGCGTGTGAGTACAAATGGCAAGCCTGTGCGAGTCAATATGAAATGGAGCTGCCATAAAAATGTAGTCCTTGTACGCTACGCCATGAGAAATTTTCAGGGCCACATCTGTCAGTTGCGGCCCAAGGACATATGCCAAGTTGGTAAAGCATGATGCATTGCAAAAGCATTTAAACCTGTGCCAGTTGACCTTCACATACGATGTAGTGTTGTGTAATAATAGCATGATCTAGTCAACCTGCTTTAAAATTAGCATTCTTGTTATATTACATTTGACAAATGAATGAGCAAATAGAGCTTGATTTTAATATCATGCAGACAAGGTCGTTTTGGAAGTGTGGTAATAGGCACACGGAAATGTAAAAAAAACCAGAGAACTCTGTCACCAGAGCTTCGATAGTTCTCTAGGTGTGTAAAGTCGTACGCATTTGAAATATATATAGTTACCCCTTTATATTTATATAAATCTCTAAAATATTTCTCTCCTGATATTGTGTGGGTGCGTGCCTCTGTGCATACTCTATTCGTAAGCATTGCTGACTGTGTGTACGCTAACACGTCGCATACACATTCGAATGCCATACCAAGTACTTTAATCGCTGGTTGTAACTGCAACAGGTGCGCGCTGAACAAGGTTCGAGAATAAAAAAATCCGAAGTCCTATCTAGCAGAGCCCGATGCGCGCGTTGGTGAGCGGGTTAAGCAGCAGTATCGTGATGTGTTCAGCGAGTGCCATGGAACAATACCGTCAAGCCGTCGACGCTCATTGCCTGAATTATACGTCAAGCTACTACACGCCAAGACGACGGAACTACTCGCAGGTAACCATTGACAACGTGCACAGTCATCTGTCGGTCGCAGCCGGCACAGTAAATCGCCACGCGAATGGTAACGGTAAATCTGCATTGCGACATTAAGAGGGAAGTCATTGGAATAAAAAAGAATAAAAATCGAACAATGTGGCCCCTAGTGACAAAAAATCCTGTTTAATGACATCTTGCTTAAATTTGTTGTCACGGCATTTGCGCATGAAGCCAGTTTAGACGAAACAAAGTGCAAGTCGGCTACAGCTGGCAGTTGATTGTGCCACATTGTTTGTCATGCCCTTCAAAGTTCTTTCAGCTTCTTTTGTGTTACGGTTCCAGGCCCTCTTATCTTTAAAAATCCATTTCGAATATTCCACCTTGTGGTATTCGGAGGTTAATGAACTTAGCCAATATCTTGCTAACGAGCCATCAGCTTGTACACAAGAACTTTTTTATATACGCGGAATAATCTCTGCCAATCTCGTTTTCTCGACTATTCTTGCCACTGTTGGGCTTCGTGACATATTTCCATCTGTAGCCTCAGGAGAGACGAATGCTCAGCGAGAGTCGACTAGCTCGGTAAGGTTGACTTTGAGGTGGAGTGTATGGCAATCGCTCTAGAGGCACGTGCAAGGTCGCCTCTACACAGCAGCAAGGTATCTTGTTAGCTGGCCACCAGCGCAGCTGAGCACAAGCGCAGACAGCCTGGAACAGCAGGATGCCATTATTCACGTGATTCCGGCAGCAGTTTTCGCTTTCGCCTTTTTTTTAATCGTTATTAGCAGTTTTTTGTTTGTTGTGAATGTTTGCATGCGAAGAGCATACATTTCTAAATTAATACGTAATATCACACTTAGAGTAGTAAAGACATATGGTGCCAAGCCAGATTCAAAACAACTTTATCGCTTGAGACATGCTTTAGACTGCCTTTACGAATCAATGTACCAGAATCACTGATTGCCCTCTCGCTGCTTACGCGAGTCTTGCCTTCCTTCCAGCTTATAAACGTTCAAAAACATGGCGTGATGTGGCCAGCAAACTAAGCGGCTAGAGACGGCCATTAATGCTCAACAAGTGCCAAATATACGACGTGCGACTAGAGATCATAGAGAGGAGGAGCTGAGAGATGCGGAGGCGCCTCAACAGCTGCTAATAGCTAATAAAGGTGAGCTCGCGCACGCAAGGACATGTAGCTTTGGTTATTTAGCAGCCCACCTCTGCGCCTATCAACTCTGCATCAGCTTCTGTGTGACATTCTTAGCTGCATAAAACTTAACAAACCATTTAGAGAAGAAGTTCTGATTTATAAGAGGAACTGGAATGCCTAGCTTAAAAAGCTTCACAGCCTAATTTAGCTATAGCTGTAAATATGTTTTACTAAATGATTGCCTTCCAGTGACTCAATAATTGTTAATGGCCACCATGCGTAACTGAATGCTGTGCGCTTACATGCCGTAACGGGGATTCTCATGAATAACCGGGACCGTCGTTTCAGGCGTGTGAGTCCGTGTTCTTGACGCCGTGGAGACCTGTCGGCTCGCTGCCGGCGACCTTTAGTGATGAGATGAGGCGCGGCCGATGCTTGACCCCGCCAATCAGCAGCTGAAGAACCGCATCACCATGCTGCTACAGGCAGAAAGCCTGTTCATCCGCCGACAAAAAAGGATGCGTGGGACGACGGGAACACCGCTGCCGGTCTGCTAGTAAGACATTGGGGCGTTTTTGAATCAATGTATAGTATTTTTGGTGGAATGGTGTATACACGAGACTCGTATATCTCTAATTGTCCCCCGCATTTTTATAAATCTTGATTTACCTATATTTATGTACTAATATGTAGCGTGGCCATGCTAGAGGTGATTGAGGTGCCCCAGACAGTGCAGCTCCTTTACAAATGAATTGATGGGTTGGAATGAACAGATTGGCGCTGTTATGCCAGTAGGTGGGACTAGTGTGTATTTGCCTCCACATTGAAATTGTGTGCCCGTGTGCATGAGTGCCGTGGTCTGTTGAAACATTCTGCATTCCGGCAGTATTTTGCTCTATAATTATGCTGTGCAAAATACCGATTGAAACTGTGCTTCCTAGAATTTTTCAACCGCTGTGGCGCAGTAGAATATAAAAATTAGAAATGTTGATTGATTGCTTGCTCTTATGGACCAAGAATCCACTTAGAACTACATGCTGTGTGGAACGTCTATTTACTGTTGTTTAATCTGTGTTTCCTTTAAACAGGATGCTTTGGCAAAAGCGGTAGGACAGTTCTAAAAAATGCGAGCAAAGGACAGAAGAACAAGGCACTTTATCTTAAACACCATGCTGTACAAAAAAAGCTAAATAGCTTAAATGGCACGCACCTACTACAGTCTCTGGGTAAACGTGATCAGCATGGGGAGAGTGACACAGATGGACTATGCCGTCATGTAATAGCCATAAAACATAGAGGTTCAAGCTATGAGGTACCTACTAAGATGGAAGCACTGCATTCTGAGCCCTTGCATTCTGCGTGAGCGTCATATCTGCCGCTGTCGCTTACAGTTGTGTACAGTTGTATGATGCCTAGGAGGGGACCGTGGACCTGTTATCAGAAACATCATAAAATAGTTATCATAATAAACTATCATAATACTAAAAATGTCATAACTTACAGTGACACTCACTTCATAAGTTATGACAATTTAGACTTATGATTGTTATAACTACTTATAATTTTCTGACAATAGGTCCTTGTGCATGCTGAGCCTGGCCAGCTGCATGTTTATACTACACAAAGTGTGCCGAAGGTGTTTTACAAGTCTTGCACGGATTTCCAATGTGAGCATCTACAAATAATATTGGAAACTGTTGCAAAGTTTTGCCTGTTGCCTTTTCTACTATTTAGAAATCTCACCTTCTTCTGTTGTTATTTCTCATGAACGAGAGAGGATAAGCAGAACAGTAAATCGATTCGAAAGAGCCGATCTGCAGAGAGAGGGAGGAAGACACTGGACTAGAATACAAAAAGCTACAGAATGGTGTGTTACGCTTCGAATGCAGTTAGTCGTTGCAACTAGTAACAAAGTAGCAGGGCAAAATTTGAGAAATATATGCTAATATCAACAAAATGTTATGATCATTACACATATCAAAAAACTTCAATTACATTGTGATTTTATGTACTGATTTATGAAAAGTCACTCAGTGTATTATTTATAATTCAATATATTAGTCATCGATTGTACATTCGCAAACTCACTGCCAAAGGTACCACTTTCGTCTGCCTCACAGAAGTACCCGACGCCTGCACATCGACGTTCCTGAGTATTCTCTTGACTGTACATTTCCGATGGACAGCCTCGCAGTAGAGGTGACGTTAGCAGCGAGGCGTGCCGCCCGCTGCCCAGACAGCGTGCGTCAGCAGGCCACGCCGCCAGTCCTGCGCGGCATGCAGCAAGCCGCTCCCGTTCACGTTCCGAGACGGACCACTTCGCGACCGAAAGCCCCGCCGAGCATACACGCAGTCCCCACGAGAACCAGCCCGGCACACGGCCCCTCCCCCACGCAGCCCCGAGCACCGCACCCTCCCGCAAGAACTAGCCCTGCCGCGGCTACTGCCCTCCCCCGCCACCGCCCTCGCCGCCGGTACCTCCACCACACCCAGACGGACACACCTACGAAGCAAGACCGAGGGAGAAGTTGCAAACCGCAGCGCAGAAGCCGAAGCGTAAGCGGCCTGCCATCCAGCGCCCGCACATAGCCCCGACCTGCAGGGAGTTGCAGTCGCCACTGCAAAAAAAACTCAGCAGAACGCAAGCCTATGAAGAAAAGCGCCGGATGTGACGCCGTCGCGGCGGTTAGTGCTCGTATTTAGTGCTACTAATCACTGATCTCACGCATAGATATCTGTGTCGCTGTAGTGTGTTGCTGACTACTTGCCTAATGTTTACAATAATGAGTAGGCTGTTGTACATTTATTCTGCATACAGCATTCGATTTTTTCAGAATCATTTTCATTCATTCAAAGTATTGCTGCTCTCGTTTCGGAATTCACCATGAAGAGTTGACCATTTCAATGGTGGCTGCGCGATGAGCGATTATGCCACACAATCAAGCTGCGGAGTGAAGCTGCCGTACAGTGACGCAGAGCGAATTGCCCGATCAAGAAGCAGAGGAGGTGCTATTTAAGCACCGATGCACACCAAAAAACTGCTTAAAACTAGGTATGCCCGTAGTCGATTACTAAGCCCTACTGTGTCACTTGAATTGCAGAAGAATATGCTGTGTGATTGCCACACTGAAAAACCTATCAATTAGCGCTGACACATGTATGTGCCTGCAGGTTTTTGCCATTTTATAGTAACTCCTACTATATCCATTGATCTACTCGTTTTTGATGCCCACACACCTACTGAATTTCCCACGCTGAAATTGTTTATTAGATACAAGTGACGATTATTTGCATCTATCTGAAGTTAATCAAAAAGCTTTGTGTTGCAGTCTGTTCAGAATCAGGCACATGATCGATGAACACGCAAGAAAAATGAGATGGCTGCCACAGCCTCTGAATTCGATTCGTTGGGACCAGATTCTAGCCAGTCCGACTGAAAAGGGTCTGCACACAGCGATAACGAATGCAGCCAGCGGTGGTGTCTTTCAAATATAAACTGATGCCTTTTGCTGCTTATGTCATCAGCGGTAGGCACGATACATGTGCAAACATGTGTCGACAACCCAGTTTTCAATGCAGTAGATATGCTTTATCTTTTCCACGTGTATTAATATTCCATCCATCTTCCTATGCTCTGTATATTGCTTATGATAGTTGCAGTGGGTTATAAGTACCATGTGCGTGAAATTATTAGCGACGTCGAGGGTGACAGTGAATTGTTGGTGAGAACAATTTCAGTGTTGACACGAATTTTCGAAGTAAATAATAGGAATCATAATGTAATATATATTATCTAAATACATCTTACTTAACATTATTTATAGCAGTTGTCAATTTACGCCAACGTATTGCCAAGAGATTATATAAAGTCTTGATTTGCAAATTATGCTGTAACCAAACTTGGAATCTGCCCAATCTCGAGATTGTGCAACGATTGTGCTGCCCAAACTGCGGATTCCCTAGTTTGGCTGAACAATCTCAAGATTGTGCAAACTGAAAACAGTCGGTGATTCAACAACCGCTCATAGCGAGTGTGTGGTGTGGGTGGTGCAAACTAGGAAAGGATTTATCTCATATTTATCCAATTATTTATTATAATCATTTATTATTTATACAAAGGTGCCAAACTCATTGAGGAAAGAAGGTATACGACCTTTATACTTATACTTATAGTTATAGTTATGATATAACATTTGAAATCCTAATAATCATATGTTTGTGCAAGCTCTGTTTTGTGTTTACCTCTGTTTGCCCAATCTCAAGATTGGTTGCCCAAACTGTGGATGCGCTGAAATTCCAAGTTTGTGCAAGATTCCAAGTTTGGGCACAACAGATACACTTACAGTGTCAGTAATACTAATATTTACTAATAGTAATAGTATCCTATAAATACGCATACTATATTAACATCTATGGTTACTATAAGGAACACAGCCTGTTCTCGGCTGTACAAAGCCAATAACAGAATAGAACCGAAGACTTGCCCTGGACCTGGACATCTTTTGGATTCGGAAAACAGAATATAACTGGAACACGGTGCACATTGATCAGTTTTGGCAGGGTAGACTTTGGCGTTGATAAATGATTCAGCGTTTACAAAAAGTTTGTCTTTTATAATAAAAGAAACATTTTCTCGACAGAGTATTTATAAAAATAATTTGAAATTTGGAGTCGCTTATTTATTTATTTTTTGAATTAATTTACAAATTGCTATGATTATATAAAACCTCTGATGAAACTCTTGTGTACGAATGCCATGCTACTTTTATTGTGATCGAGATCACGTGATGAAAACAAATAACGTCAGATGGCGAGAGAAAGGTCAGTAGGTGTTCATTCTTCTTTGTGATTATTTGGAGCCTCTCCAGCTGATCTCTAGTAATTGCTACAGCACATGACCCACCAGAGCACTACTCAGGGAATGTCATAGCATCCATTTGACGTGACTGTGTAGGACTGTGTGAAACACAAAGGAAGTATGGAGGTAAGTTGATAAACAAGATATGATAAACACTCACATGATTGCGAGTGCATGCCATTGTTGTTGACATTGACGCATTTGATTATCAACGGAGTTGCGATGCTAAGTAATGTGTGGTGTAGTAGGTATTGGATCAGATTATTCTACGCTGCCATAGGACACTCGTAGTAACTATTGTGCTAGGAGCCACACGTGAGACGGACGTAGCTGAAGTCTGCATGGCCATAGAGTTAGGGGGGGGGGCATTCCGGTGCAAATCCACTTGAGGCACCTTAGGGTATCACGAAGTGATGCACAGATTTCTGTGTATCATCAACTAATGCACAGACTTTCCGTATATCAAGGAATGATGCAAAAACTCTAACCCTAACCCTAACCCTAACACACTTCGTGATACCTAAGGCTAAGGTTATACTTTATGACTTAGGGTTAGGGTTAGGGTTTTTGCATCATTCCTTGATATACGGACAGTCTGTGTATCAGTTGATGATACACAGAAATCTGTGCATCACGTCGTGATACCTAAGGTGCCTAAAGTGGATTTGCGCTGGTAATTCCTAGATACTGCTACTAGTAGTAGATTCATTCTTGTATTTCGACTAAAGTATCAGATCAAAGTATCCAGATTAAAGATCAAGTAAAGGATCAGGTTGAATAGGTTGCTGCTGCCTGACAGATGCTGTGAGACCAACGTCAATACACCTACATGCTACATACAATTTACAATGATCTTTCAATCCATGACCGTTTCTTGGAGCTGTCTCTCACATCTGTGATCAGTGACCTAGAATTTTCACAAATTTAGTTGCTCATATGGAGAATTGGCTATTTTAATTGCATAATAATCTATTAGGAGAGAACAAAAACAAATATTTTCATTCATTCCTTAATCTATATAGTGGTGTTTCACAAAATGTCAATGCTCCTCTCAAAGCAAATACTCCTGTAACATAAAATAAAATTAATACCACCCAACCACGTTCTACTAAGGGCGCTTAGTTACCAGCATCATTGCTTGTGATTTTGGTAATTCATATTCTCACAAAGTTCCAAAAAAATAAAGTTGTTTGTAACATTGGTAGAATCCCATAAAGCCATAACCATTAAAGAAATTTGCATTTTTCACAAAATTGAAAACGAGTACCTGCAGAAATATTCATGAGATGATAAGCAATGACAGAAATGATGAAGCTACAGGAAAACACTATGTGCGATGGCAGTCATTTTCTAATCTTAAACTGCTTTGTCGTTCGACCAAAAATTTGTTCAGATAGTTGGTATCATCTTTAAATGACGATGCATATTTCCAAATTTATTTCAACCAAATAATTTTTCTTGGCAATAATGCGGATCAATGTCATTGAATCTATTGTGTTTGGGTGCTTGTTCTAAGGTTGTGCAAAGCAGTTTTAGACAACCTGTACTGCCTTTTCTTTCAGGACATAGATTATGGAAGTCTGGAAGGCTGGGTGGCTATAAAACCAGACATGTTCCTCGACGACTCACCGAAACGCCGTCTCCACTTCATCATTGCGTGGAACAAAGTAGAGGGAAAACTCGCAATCACCTGCAGAGGGAGCCACCGCACGGTGACCGGAGATGAGCAGCACAGCTGGGCGGGGCTGTTCAGTCTGCAGGACATTCGTGGCGTGCACGATCAACTGTGCCTCTTACAGCCAGCACTCGCAGCCTACCTTCCCGACCTCCCCATCGAGTACCACGGCATCTGGTCGCTCTTCTATTTCACCGAGATTCCGCAGAGCTTGTGCGAACAATTGGAACTCTACATGCAGATAGCGCTGGAGATATGTGGCGAAAAGTTGCTCATACAGACTATGTTCGAAGAGATCAATATCGAGGAATATCTGGAAGACATCAGCGAACTTAGACTGCAGGCTCGTCGTGATAACCTCAGTCGAGCAAGGGAGCAGGTCAATCGGTTTTTACTGGAGAGAAACTCAATTACCAGTCTACAGAAGCTCAAAGAGTGGTACTCTAAAGAGGAGATGGCACTTGGAAATGTGCACGTAGAACTGGCTGAACTCTACAACATGCAACTGCAACCATTTCTTGACCTGCGTGAGGTACAAATTGATGCATTTGTATGGGTGTTTTGTGTTGTCTCTGCATTCCTAATGCAGTGTGGTCCCGTCATAACACGATCGTTGAGGTCCATAAAATGTCATCGCGAAAAAAGCAGGTTCTCACTGAATTGGGGCTCAAGAAAATCAGCGTATAAACTGACCCAATGTTGACCTAACATCCTAAACACCCCTATTTTTGACTTATTTGACCCGTTTTTTGCACGTTTACCTTCTGGCAAGTAAATTACCTGGCAGGTAAAGAATGCCATGAATAACTTGTTGTTGCAACTTCTGTGACTGCCAGTGTCAGTCGTTGCTCATCGCTGTCAGTCGTGTCGCTGTCGACCTAGGCACTGCAGTCGCATTGAGTTGCAATGTGTCGAGTCGCGTCACATTCAATCACAATCTGACCTAAGCCCGGCTTAACTCAGCGAAAAACTTTTCGGTTCCGGAGAGAGCAAAAAAAGGTCCAATGACTTATCGCGTTATATCCGAATTCGCATTAAGTCGGGGCGGATAAAATCAGGGTTTTACTAACTGTACCAACCATCGCATATGATTCACATTGCCTACACAGTGCTCATAATATTTTAAAATGTACAGTATGTGCATTAATTTTTTATTGAATGGCATTTTCCCTACAATGCAAAAGATTTTTACTGTAGGACATGTCTTTACTATGTAGGCAGATGGAAGCTCCCCTTCATTAAAAGTGAAGCTTTGTTATCGTATTGTGCTTGTAAAAAAGCAATCTTGCATAAATTTACTCATGTTCTCAGCATAGCTGAAGTTAAACTTATTGTTGTAATCTTTTATGAAAACCCATGTGAAAACTATGATCAAGTCTGATTAATTGCACTTATTTTACAAGGCCTAAGATAAAATATTGCTTGTTTCCCCTTTACCGACCGACTCGCCAAAACGCCGCTACTCGACACATTTTATTGGCCGATTAAAACAAACCAAAAATTATTTCGTTTCGCCAAAAAAAAAAATCAAATTTGTTCCGCAAAAACATATACACAAAACAGAATATACAATATACATACACACATCTTGTCGAAACAAAATAAAAAAGATTTTTCACCTACCTACCTACTCGGTACCCTGAGAGGCGAGTAGGTAAAGGGGAAACAAACAATTTTTTGAAGGGTGGCCCAATACTTAGATTCGGTTGTGTGATTCGTCGATATCAATCAATGTGATTTATATGCTCTGCTGGTACTATCTAATATGCTGGACCGTACCTCGCCTACTCCACTAAAGAGTCTAGGGAGTCACCTACTCCTACTCCCTAACCCTAACCCTAACCATATCAGATAGTATACCGGACCGCACCCAGGGTACGCACCGGCAGTACCCTGGGGGACATAGACCTTTAGTATGAGCGTAACTTATATATGACCTACTTGCGAAAAAAGCCAAATATGTAGCAAGTGCAGCTTTCATGGTTGACGAATTCACAATGCGTGAATTTGCTGTGTGTGAGTACAAATGGCAGCCTGTGCGAGTCAATATGAATGGAGTGCATAAAATGTAGGTCTTGTACGTACGCATGAGAAATTTTCAGGGCCACATCTGTCAGTTGGGCAAGGACTATGCCAAGTTGTGTAAAGATGATGCATTGCAAGCATTTAAACCTGTGCAGGTTGACCTTCACATACATGTAGTTGTGTAATAATAGCAATGGATCTAGTCAACCTGCTTTTAAAATTAGCATTCTTGTTATATTACATTGACAAATGAATGAGCAAAAGAGGGATTTTAATATCATTGAGACAAGGGTTTTGGAAGTGTGGCTAATAGGCACACGGAAAGGTAATAAAACCAGAGAACTCTGTCACCAGAGTTCGATAGTTCTCTAGGTGTGTAAGTCGTACGCATTTGTAATATATAATATAGTTACCCCTTTATTATTTATATAAATCCAAATTAATTTCTCTCCTGATATGTGTGGGTGCGTGCCTCTGTGCATTACTCTATTCGTAAGCATTGTGACTGTGTGTACGCTACACGGGATCACATTCGAATGCATACCAAGTCTTTAATCGCTGGTTGTAACTGCCAACAGGTGGCGCTGAACAAGGTTCGAGAAGCGAAGTCCTATCTGCAGAGCGAGGAGGTTGGTGAGCGGGTTAAGCAGCAGTATCGTGATGTGTTCAGCGAGTGGCATGAACAATACGTGCAAGCGATCGACGTCATTGCTGAATTATACGTCAAGTACTACACGCAGACGACGGAACTACTCGCAGGTAACCATGACAACGTGCACAGTCAATCTGTCGGGTCGCAGGGCACAGTAAATTCGCACGGAATGGTAACGGTAAATCTGCATTGGACATTAAGAGGAAGTCATTGGAAAAAAATGGAACAATGTGGTTTAGTGACAAAAAACCTGTTTAATGACATCTTGTTAAATTTGTTGTCACGCATGGCATGAAGCCAGTTTAGACAAACAAGTGCAAGTCGGTACAGTGGCAGTTGATGTGACACAATGTGGAACGCTTCAAAGTTCTTTCAGTTCTTTGTGTTAGGGTCCAGGCCCTCTTATCTTTTAAAATCTATTTCGAATATTGCACCTTGTGGTATCGGAGGTTAATGAACTTAGCAATATCTTGCTAACGAGCCATCGTTGTACACAATAACTTTTTTATTACGGGAATAATCGTCTGCCAATCTCGTTCTCAACTATTCTTGACCACTGTTGGCTCGTGACTATTTCCATCTGTAGCTCAGAGAGACCGAATGCTCACCGATAGTCGACTAGTCGGTAAGGTTGACTTTGAGGTGGAGTGTATGGATCGTCTAGAGGACGTGCAAGGTCGCCTCTACACAGAGCGAGTCTATCTGTTAGCTGCCACCAGGCGGCAGCATGAGCACAAGCGAGACAAGCTGGAACAGCAGGTGCATTTATTCACGTGATTCCGGCAGCAGTTTTTGATTTGACTTTTTTTTAAATCGTTATTTAGCAGTTTTTGTTTTGTTGTTGAAGTTATGCATGCGGAAGAGCATAGATTTTAAATTAATACGTAATTATCACACTTAGGAGTAGTAAAACAGTATGTGCAAGCAGATTCAAAACAACTTATGGCTTGAGACATGCTTTAGACTGCTTTACGAATCTGTACCAGAATCACTAATTGCTCTGTGCTAAAGACGAGTCTTGCTTCCCTTCCCAGCTTATAAACGTTCAAAACATGGGTGATGTGGCCAGCAAACTAGAGCGGCTAGAGACGGCCATATATGCTCAACAAGTGCAAATATACGACGTGCGACTAGAGATCATAGGAGAGGAGGAGCGAGAGATGCGGAGGCGCCTCAACAAGCTGCTAATAGCTAATAAAGGTGAGTCGCGCACGCAAGGACATGTAGCTTGGTTATTTAGCAGCCACCTCTGTGCCTATCAACTCTGCATCAGCTTCCTGTGTGACATTCTTGGTGCATAAACTTAACAAACCATTTAGAGAAGAAGTTCTGATTTATAAGAGGATTGGAATGCCTAGCTAAAGCTTCACAGCCTTAGTATAGGTAAATATGTTTACTAAATTGATTGCCTCCATGATCAATAATTGTAATTGGCCACCATGGTAACTGATTGCCATGGTAAACGGCAACAATTGTAACTGGTTACCATCGTAGCTGGTTGCCATGGTAACTGAATGCTGTGGTACATGCCGTAACGGGTTGCCATGATAACCGGGCACCGTCGTTTCAGCGTGTGAGTCGGTGTTCTTTGACGCTGTGGAGGACCTGTCGTCGCTGCCGGAGACCTTTAGTGATGAGATTGAGGATGCGGCGAAGCTTGACCCCGCAATCCAGCAGCTGAAGAACCGCATCACCATGCTGTACAGGAGAAAGCTGTTCATCCGCGACAAAAAGGTGCGTGGGGGACCGACGGGAACACCGTGCGCGGTCTGCTAGTAAGACATTGGGGTTTGAATCAGATGTATAGTATTTTTGCTGGAATGGGTGTATAACAGAGACTCGTATATCTTTAATTGCGATTTTTTTAAATCTTGATTTACCTATATTATGTACTAATAGTAAGGTGCATGCTAGAGGTGATTGAGGTGCAAGAAGTGCCAGCTCCTTTACAAATGAATTGATGGGTTGGGAATGAACAGATTGGGTTATGCAGTAGTGGGACTAGGTGGGTATGCTCCACTGAAATTGTGTGCGTGTGCATGAGTGCGTGCGTGCGTGCGTCTGTGAACATCTGCATTCCGGAGTATTTTGTCTATAAGTTATGCTGTGAAAATACCGATTGAAACTGTGCTTCCCTGAATTTTTTCTTAACCGTGTGGGCCAGTAGAATATAAATAGAAATGTTGATTGTCTTGCTCTATGGACCAAGAATCCACTAGAACTACACGCTGTGTGGGAACGTCTATTACTGTGTTAATCTGTGTTTCCTTTAAACAGGATGCTTTGGCAAAGGGTAGACAGTCTAAAATGGAGAAAGGACAAGAAGACAAGGCACTTTATCTTAAACACCATGCTGTACAAAAGGTATAGCTTAAATGGCACGCACCTACTACAGTCTCTGGGTAAACGTGATCAGATGGGGAGAGTGACACAGATGGACTATGGTCATGTAATAGCATAAAACATTGAGGTTCAAGCTATGAGGTACCTACTAAGATGGAAGCACTGATTCTGAGCCCTTTGATTCTGACGTGTAGGTCATATCTGGCTGTCGTACAGTTGTGTACAGTTGTATGATGCTAGGAGGGGGACGTGGACCCTGTTATCAGGAACATCATAAATAGTTATAACTATCATAATACTAAAACTTTATTTAATACATAAACTTTTACATGACACTTCACTTCATAAGACTATTAAGTTATGACAATTTTAGACTTATGATGTTATAACTACTTATAATTTTTCTGACAATGGGTCCTTGTGATGTGAGTGGCACTGCATGTTTATACTACCACAAAGTGTTGCACGAAGGTGTTTTACAAGTTTTGCACGGATTTCCAATTTGAGCATCTACAAATAATATTGTGAAACTGTTGCCAAGTTTTTGGTTGCCTTTTCTGATATTTAGAAATCTCACCTCTTCTTGTTTTGTTATTCTTCAGAAACGAGAAGAGGATAAGCAGAACAGTAATTCGAGGAAAGAGCGACTGGCAGAAGAGAGGAGGAAGACACTGGCTAGAATACAAAAGTACAGAATGGTGTGTTCACGTTACGAATGTATAGTCGTTGCAGACTAGTAACAAAGTAGCAGGGCAATTTGAGAAATATGTAATATCAACAAAATAGGCGTGTTCACACACAAGAAAAACCGCGATGCTAATCGCGATGGAAATACCGAGATAATTGTGTCGTTGTTCACACAGGTGGAAATATCTCGCATTAATCGAACTGCGCATGCTCACTGCCGGAATGATGCTCACTGCGCATGCTCACTGCCGGAATGATGCTCACTGCGCATGCTCACTGCTCACTCGCTTGGAATGACGGGATTATTTGCGCGAGCGTTCACACACGCAAATAATCGCGCTAATTCCAAATAATCGCAGTCAAAAGTGCGATTATTAGTGAGATTATTGCGTTCACACTTGTAATAATCTCGGTATTTCGATCGTGATGCAAAAACCGGGATTTGCATCCCGCTAATTCGCGCCAGTGTGAAACGCCTAATGTTATGATCATTACACATATCCAAAAAACTTCAATTACATTGTGATTTTATTTTACTGATTTATGAATAAGTCACACGTGTATTATTATAATTAATATATTAGTCATCGTTGTACATTCGAAACTCACTCAAAGGTATCCACTTTCGTCTGCTCACAGAAGTACCCGACGCCCGCCACCATCGACGTTCCTGAGTATTCTCTTGACTGTACTTCCGATGACAGCCTCGCAGTAGAGTGCGTGCCAGCGAGGGTGCCGGTGCCCAGACAGCGTGCGTCGAAGCAGGCACGCCGCAGTCCTGCGCGATGCAGCAAGCCGCCGTTCACGTTCGAGACGGACCACTTCGCCGACGACGCCCCGCCGAGCATACAGCGCACGTCCCCACCGAGAACCAGCCCCGGCACCACGGCCCCTCCCCCACCGAGCCCCGAGGCACCGCACCCTCCCCCGCCAAGAACTAGCCCTGGGGCTACTGCCCCTCCCCCGCCACCGCCTCCGCCGCCGGTACCTCCACCCCAGCCCCAGGCGGACACACCTACGGCAGCAAGACCGAGGGGAGAAGTGAAACCGCAGGAGAAGCCGAAGGTAAAGCCGGCGCCATCCAGGCCGCACATGCCCGACCTGAGGGAGTTGCAGTCCGCACTGAAAAAACTCAAGAAAACGAAGCCTATGAAGAAAGCGCCGGATGTGACGCCGTCGGGCGGTTAGTGTCGTATTTGTGCTCTATCACTGATCTCACCGATAGATATCTGTGTCGCTGTAGTGTGGTTGTGGACTACTTGCCTAATGTTTACAATAATGAGTAGGCTGTGTACATTATTCTGCATACAGCATTCGATTTTTTTCAGAATCATTTTCATTCATTCAAAGTATTGCTGTCTCGTTTCGGAATTCACCATTGAAGAGTTGACCATTTCAGGTGGCTGGGATGAGATTATGCACACAATCAAGCTGGGAGTGAAGCTGCGTACAGTTGACGAGGAGGAATTGGCGATCAAGAAGCAAGAGGAGGTGCTATTAAGCACGGATGCACACCAAAACCTGCTTAAAACTAGGTATGCTCGTCGATTACTAAGCTACTGTATTGCAGAAGATATGTGTGTGATTGCACACTAAAAACCTATCAATAGGTGTCACATGTATGTGGCTGCAGTGTTTTGTATTTTATAGTAACTCCTACTATATCCATTATCTACTCGTTTTTGATGCACCACACCTACTGAATTTCCCACGTGAAATTGTTTATTATATACAAGTTGACGATTATTTAATCTATCTGAAGTTATCAAGCCTTGTGTGTTGCAGTCTGTTCAGAATCAGGCACATGATTGATGAACACGAAGAAAGTGAAGATGGCTGCCACAGCTCTGAATTCGATTCGTGGGGAACCAGATTCTAGCCAGTCCGACTGGAAAGGGTCTGCACACAGCGATAACGAATGCAGCCAGCGGTGGGTGTCGTTTCAAATATAACTGATGCCTTTTGTGCTATGTCATCAGGGTAGGGGGTCATCAGTCATCAGTCATCTGGGTCATCAGTTCGACAACCCAGTTTTCAATGCATAGATATGTATTATTTTTCCACGTGTATTAATATTTCCATCCATCTTCCTATGCTCTGTATATTGCTTTGGATAGTTGCAGTGGGTTATAAGTACCTGTGCGTGAAATTATTAGGATGTGGGGGTGACAGTGAATTTGTTGGTGAGAACAATTTCAGTTTGACACAATTTTCGAAGTAAATAATAGGAGTCATAATGTAATATATATTATCCTAATACATCTTACTCAACATTATTATAGAGTTGTGCAATTTAACGCCATGTTTGCCAAGAGATTATATAAAGTCTTTGATTTGAAATTAATAAATTTGCATTGTGGTTTGAACATTATGTAAGGTAATGCCACAATGCATCGTGATTGTTGTTTTTTAAGAAATTATATTGTCATGAATGATATACTGTGCGTGGGTAAGTCTATGCGTGCATCCACCAGAACGTGTGAGTGGTTTTTAGCGTGCATTATATTTATCATAGTTGTTTTAGTGAGTGGAATATTTCATTATTTATTTAATCGTGTGCGCAGTATTCGGTTTGTGTAGGTGGCGGGTGCAGTGCATCTCTCAACTCTTGCACACAGATGACTGTACAGTTATTATGGAACTAGTAAGAGTGCTAACTGGTACCATACCAGTTTTAATTAAGTATAACTAGTATCAAAGTGCTACTAGTTGAAAGTGCCAACTACAGTATCGATAAGGTACTAGTCAAATCATGAATAGTCCCATAAAGATAGCAGTTTATGTGCAGTATCACAAATGTACTAGTGTGCGAACTAGTACCATGGTTTATAATTGTCTAAACGCTGTAACTATGTGGACTAATCAGGCCGAGCATAGCAACGGACAACTAGCTAAACTCCCGTAAGCATGCCTGCGGACATCTAGCTCCACTACATGTAGCATAAGAATGCTACTATACATTCTTAGATCCTTTATATAATAGGGCTGGGTTGCCTCGTGTATGCTGGCAGAGGGTGTGCAAATCTCGTGCGGCTTTCAAAGTGCAAAGATGAGGAAACTTATGACCCATTTTTAACTACGATTTCCACGTGAAATTTTACTCGCTCAACTGGAAAATGCAGCGAAGCTTAACGTGACATACAGACATTAGCTATAGTAAATTTCTAATCAGCACGGTCTTCTCAATTTTAGCAACGTGTCCTGTACTTACACGGTCAGAGATGTTATTACATGAGGCCTGGTCACTGCTCACTGTTAACCACCGTACAAGATCTGTTCACCTATATGTATATATCACAAAATAGTTACCTAACCAACAGAAACCTTTAAATGTACATTGGATATGAACAATCAGTACATTTTTACAGGACGTAAAAACGATGGGGCGTTTTGAAATTCACAAGCTACGAACGTCGTTTCATGTGAACACTGAGATTCAATAATCGGTTATTGTTGTGATAGGCTTTAAAATTCTGTTTGTGTTTGTGATAGCGTTAAGATTCTTTTACACTTCTATCACATCTTTTGATGTCTGATATTTATTATGCCTGGTATGTTTTATATGATTTGGATAGTGCGATTAATATTTTTATTCACAATATAGAAACATATATATATGTATATATATATATATATATATATATATATATATATATATATACCACGAGTGCCAATTGGTAAACAATCACCATATATTAATCTTATTATTGCACAGAGAATTGTTTGTTTGTAGAGGCATATTGGCCCCAAATCAAATTTGTTGTTTGTCCTAGGCACTGAGCAATCTGATACAAGCGCACTGCCTAGGGGCAATTTGCACGCTAGATAACTGTTTAACCGGTCAGCTATATAATACATTTGTGTCACAAAACTACCAAAAACCTTTTTGTCTGCCTACCATTTTAGGTAATTATGCAGTTAGCAGCCAGGGATCTTACCGTAATTACCACTGTTGTTCTTATATGAAGATTACTCATTGGTGACCACAGTAGTTTGTGCCCACGTGTATAATAATATAAGGCACATAAAGTGCTTCGATTTGCAACAGGAAAAAGTCTTATGCATTTGTTGTATTCATCTATGTTTTACATATTTATTTTACTATATATATTGTTTCCACATTACATATACAGTTAAATCGCAAAATTGATGAACGTACATGATACCGCCATGGAATACCTTTTAAAAAGTCGCAATTAAATTGCAATATTACAAAATAAATTTGTAAAATTAATAATTTATATAAAATATATTATATTAAATATAATACAAATAATAGAAATGTGTATTATTATTGCATATTATTACCCTGTTTTTGCTTATTCATGGAAACCTTGTAAATAAACAATATTGCTTGCAAATCTCTCTCATTATAAAGCATTCACTACTACCGACATTGTAAAACATTGATGAGCAGGATGAGTTTTTGAGATGAAAAAATAAAATTACTAAATTAAACAAATCCAAATTTTGCTAATTAATCTCCTGAAAAATGGTGACAGCTATGTGTTAAACCCCCAAAAAACCTTAAACTTACCATGATTGCACCATTTTGCACTAATACTCACCAAATCGGGGGGAAATGCCATGTAGGGAGTCCGACCTCGTGTGCAGCAAAACAAGAAGCTCGCGATCCCAGTTCTCGACGCCAGTCTCAACCAATGCTCTCGGCCAGCTCCAAAACGCCCCAGCGACCAGCCACCATGCATGCACAAGACGCCCTGATACTGGCCTGGCCAACGACCACCTCTAAACATCGCCACGCAAACTTTTCCCAACCGGCGAAGAGCTCGATTCATGAGGGAGAATCCCTTGATACGCTCGCAGAAATAGCTGCCGTACAACGCCGCTCGTAACTTCTGAGACCTGCTCTGCTAACAATCGCCGACACGATAGCGACAAAGCTGGTAATCCGCGGAATGGCACGCTATGTGTGGTGGATACGCATATAGTGCGCTCGCACCTGACTGCCTAGATTTTTACTACGCATACGTGCTGCTAATAAAACAGCACCGACCGCACACCTTGATAACTCAAGCAGTTTTGCTATAAAAAATACCGACCGATCCAGATACATCAGCCCAGGAGAGAGACCCAGGAATCGATTTCAAAATAATGCCTCTTGCTATTTGTGTAGCTGCCTCGTAGAGTGCTAAATAATTGACCGCAACCGATGACATTAAGCATACACGTGACACGATCGACCTGACAGGGGTGCACAAACGCATAAACTGGAAGTTAAAATAGCGATCGGTTTCGCTCATGGCGCCTAGAATGACGGGACAGTCCGAAAGTGATGAGAACTACAGCTGGCTGCTGCTAACTTGTGGTCATTCGTGTACAAATAGTGAGAAACCCAGCTGAAGACTGCAGATATTATTAGCGCGTTTGCTGAACTGTGATGTGATGTAATCAAGACAGGCTGTTCTGCCACTGACTTCGTTAATGCATTTAAAACGGACGCGGAACTTGAGAGTAACATTCGAATGTTGCACGGCAACTCAATACAAAAAAGGGTCAAGCTTTTCATATCAAAGAAAATTCACGGCGCTCACGTCGAAAACGCAAGTTGTTCTTGACCAGGATGAAACCACCACCTGATAACACTAGCATATGTACACACGTTCCCACCTTTTCACACTTGTCACCGCTTAGTCCAAAAATGACTTCTTAGCCACTTTCCTCGAGAGCCATTCCGCAAATCCACACCTGCATACGTCCACTCCTTTTCACATTCGTTCGTCACCACTCGCCGCAAAAAAACGACTCACTAATGCTCGCTTACTTTCCTACTTAGACGTTGCCACAAATTAATTCTACAACTATTCCACGATGGACGTAGGGAGTGTCACATGTGAGGACGTGGACAGGAATCCTCACTAGATGAATCTGCCGGACACCACCTGCTGCTCTCTTCGATCATCGCAGGGGGCACACTTTGTTTTGCTCACGCTCCACTCTTCTCCTACGATCAAGTGAAACTCCCGTTAAAGGCTGGCACCTTCCTTCGCGTGCGACTTGAAGCGGTGAATGAAGACACGCACCCACCTCCCCCACCCTCGAGCGGCTACACCGCCACAAGATATGTACACACAGACGCGACAGGCAGCACATTCTACACGAGATAGCATCACACGAGTCTCGAGAGATGTCAAGCAGATGCAACTAAACACGCAAGTGATCTTCTAAAAGCAAGAATGCACGTAGGTTAACGACTGCAGGATAAAAAGAGGGAAACTACGCACGAGTTCAAACTTCTGATGGCAAACCATCTTAAAATTCCTCTTAGGTAGACAACGGCTGTTAATTGCTATTTTCTACACCTGTGGTTCTTGGCGGACATGCCTCATGTGGAAAACGATTACTAAGTATGCAAATTCGTTACTAATTGTTAGTTTGAAAGACTTCAGGTCAGGCATCTAATAACACATGAAGCACACTACCTAACCATCATCACGTAGGTTAACACGGGAACTTCAACCAACACGGTGCTGGGAACTGGCTGCGAATACTTGTTTGTTGTTGTTACTAAGATTGATTCAAATATAACTCGCACTTGCTAATGTTAAAGCCACCTTAGGAGTGAACTCTTTACAACTAACTATCAAACAAAACTTACGAACCCACACAAGGGACTCATACCGTCTGCTGCAGCAGGGAAAGCACATTTTGTTGGTCGCATAGCGAGACTCCGGAAAACCCACTACACTCACCGCTAAATGCTCGGGACCGAGCACACCAAGAGTATAAAACAAGAGGCCAACAATGGGCTGTATGATACGAAATACTTGCGGACGAAACATCTTTTATTTGATCTTATACGCTGTGCTACAGAAAAAACACCGTGGCAAACTTCACGTCAACCTGGCAACACAGACGACGAAGTCAACACCAAGAACTGTGAACTTTCATAAATCTAGCATTAATATACAATTCTGTGAGAAGCGTTCGTGCGACCAGTCCTCCACGTCCTGCCCGGCAAACGACGCATAACTGTTCGACTGGTGACCATATAAACACGAAACTTCTTCAAATGACCACTCTGAAGAAACGCACATACACACACATGCACGCACACTCAACCACTGGCTTGTGGCACGTGCGACAATAACCAAATAAAAAACCATTTACTGAACGTTGACTGCCTGGGTGGTGTGTACATCTCTTCCTTTGTGTAATATAAAAATTCCACAACTCAGCAGTTGCAGCATGCTCCACAAAACTGTTGAAACAGCGTTAAATATATCTCAAATTACAAAAACAACGACTGACAGTATATTTACCACGTTCCTTTACACACACTTATATTTTTCACGTGGACAACAAGACGCAAAGCTAAGAAGCAAACTCAAGATAAAAAATTCCATCGGTTACGCAGAGATCAGGAATGCCAAAACTCTACGCAGAACAAATTCATGACAGTGCAATACGCGACAACGTCCACTCAGTAAATGCCATCCCAACAAAATGATTCCGTCCCACAGATGGTCCGAATATATAGGTGACAGGTAACAGATACTCATTAAACATGTGGAGGAAAAACAGAGAACATGAATCCGTGTGAAGCCAAAACCTGCGCACTGTCTGACATCCCATTGCCGTGGTTAACGGCATCACGTAGTTAACCCGGCGGCCGATATACGAAACGGCAATCTATTTTCGAAAAATCGTCTGGCTGAACCCGATGCGACTGGCACGATGCAATCACACCACGGGAGTCTCCGGCCAACGTGAACCGCCGGGCGTCGTGCCCCTCGGGGAGAGCCAGACCGAAAGCCAGGCAAGAATGTGCCACAGCCGCTTCCCATTTCCCACCACCTCCCGCCCTTCCATTTTCATCATGCGCCGTCCGTTGGTGATGCTACTGCAAACGACCACGATTACAATCGCTGGCCCCTTGAACGATGTCACATGCGTCGGCACCTAGCAGAATGAACCGGCTGGCCGAGCACACGAGGCCGTGGTCAACTCGCTCAAGAGAGCCGCCCACGCCAGACGAGACACTAACCACAGACCGAGCGACGACTCTTGGAGCACCACACGCCGCCCGCTCCCGAGCGGGGAGAACGCCCTTGAAAGATGCAGCAGTGGCAAAATGCTGGGAAACAAAAGTCCGCGAATCAGAAGGAAGATCGGTCGAGGATTCTGGGAAACTTTGACGACGAGCGACCTAGAACGCACGATCGAAACGCACTTCGATCTGCCGACCGTCGATTCGAACCCCGTTCATGAGAGCTGAGCACGAGAATTAAGGAAACAGCTGCAGGACAACGGTCACCTATACACACAAAACACACTTTACATAAGCGCGCACAGTAAATGACACACAGACACACGTATGACAATTGTGGAGGAAAAACGGCAGAAGGAAACCTGTAGATGAAAAAATAGCTCAGACAATAGATGTAGACATGTGCAATGATCATAGCACCACATTAAAATCGTGACTCGTATAGCCGTGGGTAAAGGATACCAATGACGCGCTCGGCATCCTCCCGCGTGAAGAAGGAAATGACAGCACATCCCTTACTCTTCATGTCGATGAACTTCACATCAGCTGCAACAGAAGAGAGGAAACCATAGACATTGAGCAGGAGAGGAGAGAGACCGAATAATGACTAACTAGCTGCAGTCGACAAATGCGCCGACCGATTAAGCGAGATAACGACAAACACGTACCGACTTCTCTGATGCGTTCCTTCAACATCTGCCATGTCACGCTGAAAGGAAGCTGAAAGCGAAACATAACAACGGAGAATTAGCGAGCGAGGCGAAACCAGGATTGCGATGCAACCCACTACCAATGATCACCATCACGAGCATCTCGGACACACCCTGCCTCCGCACGCGCGGGGAAGGTGACTTACGTTTCTGATGAAGACGGTGTTCTCTCTGTCTCGCAGGTCCCTGCTCCGGTCGCGGCTGTCTCGCTCCCGGTCCCGGCTGCGGTCCCTGTCGCCGCGGTCGCGATTCTCGCGAAAGTCGCGATCCCGGTACTCGCCCATGCCCATGCCGAGGTTCGAACCCATGCTGCTGCGCCCGCTCATGCCCCCCATGCCCGACACGCCCATCCCGCTCTGGTTGCCGAGCCCAAGGCCACCCAGGCTGCCGAGACCGCCGCCCATGCCGCCGCCGAGGTTGCCCAGTCCGCCCATGCTTCCGCCCGAACCCAGTCCCAGCCCACTGCCGCTCAGTCCGTTGCCGCTGGCCAGGTTGCTCAGGTCGCCCAGTCCGCCCATCGAGCCGCCTCCTCCGCCGCCAAGACCCCCGCCCATGCTCCCGCCGAGGCCGCCCGCGCCCCCGCCCATACCGCTGCCGAGGTTACCAAATCCTCCGCCCCCGCCCATGTTCAGACCCCCTAGACCGCCGCCGCTGCCGCCGCTACCAAGGTTCGCCAGGTCAAAGCCGATGCCGCCACCGAGACCTGAAAGACAAGAGGACAGCGCGCGATCAGACGAGCCGCTACAGGGTTCGTACACCTAACACGCATACATGGACACGTGCTAATGTACGAACATCAGGGATGTATAAACGTTGCATATATTGTATATATATATATAATGTTAACAGGGTGGGCACAGCCCAGGCAAAACAATTTGCTAGGTGGTCAGACTCGACTACAATGACGCTTTCAGCGATTGGTGTCATCCGAATACGGTCTCGGATAAACGAATGTAATGGCGTCAGCCAAACCTACCTCCACCCAGGTTTCCGAATCCGCCGCCACCACTTCCACCCATGCCAAGGTTTGATCCGCCACTTCCACCGCCAAGACTAGGCATATCTTGTGGTCCAACATCTAGTAATGGAAAACAACTCAGATGCTAGCATAAGTGTCCATTGTGGCGTAGAGGAACGATGACTGTGGCTTTACAGGTGATATTTATTGAAACTACTGAATTCCTACAAGTATGCAGCCACCAGACAATTGCTACACACAGCGCAGGCTGGTGCTAATACACCAGCTCGTCAGAAGCATCTCCATGAGGGAAAACCACTAACTCAGTTACACAGAAGGACAAGTGCTTCAGTCACTCGTTTTCTCCCAATCAGATTGTTTCCCAGCAACCAAACCACTCCCTGACATTGAGGCAAACTCCTTCCATATCACAAACCAATACTAAACACGATAACGGGACGAAACAGCTACCCACGACAAAAAACCAGTTTCAACAATAACCGACATACTCAAATGCAGCATAGAACTTTCGTTACACTCGTCAGTAATGCGTTGGCAGATATGTTCACTTACTCGACACGTCTTTGCAACTAGTAAGCCTGCTGCCGTGAACTCCTAGACCAAGGCCGATTCCGGCCAAGCCCGCTGCAAAACAGCAAAACTCACATTACTACAAGACAGCTAACTCTTGCACACTGTGCGCTGACAGAACCTCGTGTATTTGCGCAAATTCGCTTTGAACAGCACGTAACCAGACGTACCCGGAAGTTTCTTTGGAAGTTCGGCAAAGGGCTTGTCTGCCATCCGATCCTTTGGAACAAACAAAAATGGAATTTTGATAACACGCTACAATGTCTGGTCGACACAGGCACGACATCCAAGTTGCACAGTAATGCTCCTATCCTCACGCTTTACATTTCTCTTAAACATCCTTTTGTCTGCGATTATATGCATCCCGCGGAGACCACACCAGACGATCCGCGCCTGATTACACTGTGCACATTATTTGTGTATTTATCCCCCCTGTACCACAAAAAAATCCTTAAAGCCCCTCTTTCGATAGATGTATCTACCTTGGTGCACCTCTAGCTTGCTGCTGAGCTCTTAACTGCCATATATCTAAGCTAAGACAACACTTGCCTTGCCACCCTTTCAAATATATAGTTTCTTTAGTGCCCCCTCAACTTGCTGCAGTGCACGACAACATCCCATCAAACCCCAGACAACACTCGCCCTGCAACCCACCTCCCTAACAACAACAACAAAATCAGAATCGGACCGCTGCGGGGGCGCGGGCAGGCGCGGGAGCAACTCACCATGCGGATGGTGATCGTGCGTCCGTAGTAGAGCTGGCCGCGGAACATCGAGATCGACTGCACGGCCTCGACCGGGTGCTCAAACTCGATGACGGCGTGGCCCTTGCTCTTGCCGTCCTGGTCGCACTTGAGAACGATGTCCATCACCTTGCCGGCGAGCTCGAAGATCTCTCGCAGCTTCTGTGCAGTCACCTTGTAGTCGAGCTGCAGGCGAGGACGAGAACGCGCGTCAACGTACAGACAGGGAGTACACTGACAGTCAATGGGTCAACATACAGAGAGGTATTACACTCAGTCGATGAGACAACATACAGAGAAGTATTACACTGACAGTTGATGGACAACGTACAGCGAGGTATTACACTGACAGTTGATGAGACAACGTACAGCGAGGTATTACACTGACAGTTGATCGACAACATACAAATGACGTACAGACAGGTATTACACAGACAGTCGTCCCATAATGTACACAGGTATAGCACGAACGGTTGTCCAGTAACGTACAGACAACATACAGACAGGGAGTACACTAAGAGTTGTATCATTGCGTACAGCCAACTGCAAATTACCAATGTTCACGTAGGTAAAGCAGTGACGTCGATCTAGCCGCACGTGCAATGAGAAGAAACCAATCTCCAATGAAATACGATCGAACACTGCACACCATGCTCGAGGAAAAACTGCCCGACTGACCAACTAAACACATGCCCAACGTGCCGGCTGGGTGAGTAACGGCACGTGGAGACTTACGTTTGCGACGAACACGCGGGTGGAGAGCGGACCCTCAATGCCAAGACGCTGAAGCACCTCCGGCGCCACGCCATATGTGTTGAACGACCCTCCGGACGAGCCGCCTCCGATTCCTCCTCCTCCTCCGCCGCCGCCCATGCCGCCACTGCCGAGACCTCCTCCGCCCATGCCACCGAGACCTCCTCCGCCCATTCCGCCCATTCCGCCGAGACCTCCTCCTCCTCCCATGCCTCCAAGGCCTCCTCCTCCCATGCCTCCGAGACCTCCTCCTCCCATGCCACCGAGACCTCCTCCGCCCATCCCGCCAAGACCTCCTCCAAGGTTTCCCAGGCCTGTCCCAAGGTCCATGCCTAGACCACCGCCCATTCCCATACCTGCGCAAACGCAAGAGAAACACACTGAGTTCTCCACAGACATTCGACAGCAGTGTAACAATACTTAAATTTTAATGCCAACAATTATTGAAATTCGATGAATGAACATTCTGAGTGTCGATAGGCCCAACTAGCTCAGACGCTATAATCAACATCAGATTACTTTTACACGATTTTTTTGGTTGCTAGTTACATTATTATACTGTTATTATTTTCTCATGTAGATAACATGAGTGTGAGCCGTACGTACCTCCTCCCATTCCCATGCCACCGCTCATTCCCATGCCACCGCCCATTCCCATTCCACCGCCCATTCCTCCTCCTCCCATGCCCATTCCCATGCCATGTCCGCCTCCATGTCCGCCGCCACCTCCTACTCCTCGTCCCCCTCCTCGGTCGTCAAGATGAAAGCTTTCTCTGTCCTACATAGACACATACATGTATACAAAACATGTAAAAACATAGCATGTAGTATAGTTTTTACAACTACCAAAATTATATCCCCTTTACAATGGGTTACACATTTTGATTTAAGCATATACATGTACACACACAGATACGATCCAAGAATACTATCAACACATGATATAATAATGGGAACTACAACATTTACAGAGACTACAAAATTGGCCTTAACAGGTAAACATACAAACCTCTTTTACGACAAGTTTTCGTCCCTTGATTTCAAATCTGTGCATAATATCAATAGCTTTCTGCGCAGTATCTTGATCCTTAAACTCAACAACACTGAAACAGACAATGAGAACACACGTCAACAATTTAAATTTAATACTACAATAGATATTTAGATAAAAAAGTGGCTTATAGCTAGTCTAGAAATCAACTTTACATTTCTCTGTTACATAAGTTCAATTTTTAAAACTTTCGCAATGCGCAGCTGCACTGACCACATTTTTGAAAGAAGACAATTAATATAATGAATAACAACAAATTTCTTACCCACATCCTTTTGGCTGATTTTCTCCAGATTCATACAGCTCCACATACGTGACGTCTCCACCAACTAAAGAAAACAGCAATTCAATCTGATAGGTTCACAAACTGATTCCTTGATCACTGATCTGAACTTCCATTGAAAAGAACTATTCTCGTTGTATAACTTTCCCCTGTAGATATTTACATTAGATAACTACTCGGGTATTCAGCATACATGGTGTGAAGCACAGACCAAACCAAACTGCCAAACGTGCACACTCATGAGCACATAGTTGGCCACAGTCTGTCCGGAGTGTGGTTGTGTGACAGGCCCGCAATGTAAACCAACGAGTGCTATTCCTCGCTCGCACCTTTGTCTCGGAATAGATCCTTGATGTCTTGCCACTTCAGATCATATGGAATGTTGCTGAGGTAAACCCTCCGCTCGAAATCGATCCTGCCACCGCGGCGATTGTCGCGCGGCCCACCTCCTCCACGGTCGCCGCCGCCGCCTCGGTAGTTGTCTGGCCGGCGCCGTGTGTTATCCCGCCGTCTGTCATCTCTTCTGCGCACAGGCGATCGCGACCGAGAGCGGGACCTAGCGACGACGGCACAACAAGCGTAGCAACAACTGATCATCTCAATCAACGTATTGCATGTTGCGATCTAGCTCTAGTACTATAGCCCGCGAAGTTGCCGCAGGGCTATAGAACATTTTATGCCAGTTTTCCTAACTGCACCTGCTCCCCAATGCTTCCACGAAAAATAGCTCACAAAACGCAACGTAACGAAATGTAATAGAGTACCGAAGTGATGACGTCACGGTGGCATGACAACGAACCTACTGGTTCTACACAATCATATGCTCTGGTAACATTAACTGCGTGTCGTGTTTTGTACCCGATTGTAACCATCATTCTGAGAGTCATTATTGCAGTTTCTATAGATTTCCAAAGGATGGAAGTGAAAAGCAACAAACAAACAAAAAAAACAAAAAATTCATTAAATATTGTAAGATCGACTTGCTACCGATGCTTTACCGCTGTCTGCAGCGCACACACTCGTGATTTACGTACGCACAACATTTTCACGCAGTTAATGTTATGGAGCCAGTGGGTTGTGTAGAACCAGCCCGTACGTTGTCTTGACAACGTGACGTCACACGGTACTCTATAGGTTGCATCATAGCTGCCCATGTGTTTTGTCTACATTTCGGGTGACGTCATGCGTGTACACAACAGCATTTGAAAACGAAATGCAAGTATATGCGTACTTTTGTACTACGACCTGTAGTAGTGCTAGCACTTTGAGGAATAAATGCATAAATACATGGTGTAAAGTTGTGGAGTGTTCAAAAAGATAGGCGAGATGTCCATGTCGATAAATAAGTGTTAAAAAGCCCGACCATTTTGCGTTTTGTGAGCCATTTTTCGTGGAAGCATTTGGGAGCAGGTGCAGTTAGGAAAACTGGCATAAAATGTTCTATAGCTCTGCGGCAACTGTGCGCGGGCTATAGTACTAGAGCTAGTTGCGATCGTGACCTGCTACGTGCTTATAAAACAAATGAAATGTTCGGGCAAACATTAAATCCCAAAACATTACGGCCCTAGTCTAGAACATGTCCCACAATACTATACACAAGAGCCGCAGTGCATCTGGGCTCATCTGAGGTCTGTTGCTACGGTTATAAACGTAACATTTAAGTAGTGCGTAGTGACACCTTTGTTAGGCGCAGATATGCAGATACACAGTTGCGTACACATCATTTCAGCAACCTTCTGCATTCTGCATACCTCCCAAATCCCATTGGTTGATACAAATCGCATGCCTGAAACTCTTGTTTTATGGTGCATTGTGACCCTAACCCTAACCCTATTTTTTTTAAATATTAATTTAAAAAATTATTTGTTGTTACAGGGTTAGACACTAACCATTTTACTTCATTAGTCCACAGGACTAGTAAAAAAAATGAAAGTGTCAATGACACTGTAGCTCACCACAAAAAGTGGAGAGATGAGGACACAAATGAGTGAGTAAGAAAAAGTAAGTTTTAATTGAGCAACCATCGACGTACATTATAGAAACTATTGCCATCTGTATATCGCAATAATAATTTATAAACCAAAATGTATCACAATTTGTGACCGTAGATGGCGCTATACCCGCTTTGTAGCGATTGCGCTTGAAATAAATAGGTTATGCTGCGTTCCGACATGTTTTGTAAATCTTTACTCTAATATAGACAGAGTGGAGAGGAAATACTAATTTTGCATTAAAGATATTGTCAATGAAATCTTGTAAAACGAACCAGACGAGTGTGACACCACAGACTGTTTGTGTTTATATAATATGCTATATAATTGCCAAACCCTACCTAATTTGCAAAAAATTGCCGTGGCTCGAAAAGTACGTCGACTGGTGTGCTTCAAAATAGGACGTTCCATATGGGAGCATAGCAGTAACAACTACACCCAATTTCAAACATGTGGGTCAAACGGTTCCCGAGTTATCGTTGACCGAAACCAAATGTTGACGGACGGACGGACGGACGGACGGACGGACGGACGGACGTACGACGGACGACGACCCATGGCAATAGCTCAACTTGACGATGTCAAGGTGAGCTAAAAATGTACTAGACCTTCCAAGATTCTACTAGTCCTGCCGAAGGACTCTTACTAGGCGCAGAGCGACAAGCATTGTGATTTGCCAGGAGGTAGGTGGGGTAGGAGGGTGGAGCCCCCTTCTGCTAGGGGGTACAGGGGGTCTCTCCCAGGGTACCCCAAAGGGTGTCCCCCAGAAAGGTTTTGTAAAAGACATTCAATTGTATAAAATACATGTAACTTTGATATGGATCATAAGATTAAAATTTAAATTAAATAAAATTTAAATTCGAAAATAAAATTTTGGCCTCCTTTGATGAGGAATCTGTGGATCCGTCACTTATCACAGCAAGGAATTTGGCCTCATTTATAGCTACAAACTGTTCCGGCATCAGCTATCGCCGTAATGAACCTCTGCCAGGCCTTGTCGGCGAGGTAAGTGCTGCCGACATCCAACCCTTGGCCTTGTCAAGCTGGCACAGCTTAACGTAATCGGTGTAGGGCCTGCCGTTTTTTCCAATAGCATGTGCATTTCTAATGGGGTTCGCCATTTACTAATCGTTGGATAGATGGCGCGCGTGCACTGTCCGGTATCACTGCTAAACCGGGGGAAAAAAAGGAAAACCGTAAATTAATTGTAATCAGAGTTGCAAAGTAGAGGTGCAAAGACATCTGGGAGGAAAGCTGATCTGCACGTACACGTGGGTGCACGTGCACTTGAACTTTTCCCCACTGCCCTTTGACCTGCAACCTCCAATTTCGCACTGGTGATGGGTTTCCTGCCCATCACACTATACACCAAATATTAAAAGCATAGGTCGAGCCGTTAAGATTTGTGCCGCAATTCCGTATTTCCTCCTATACCTTAAGTTAAGGGGGAAATATTCCCCTCCATTTACACATCTTACCCAAATTTGTCATCCTGAGTCCTTTTCACAATCCCCCCCCCCGACTCCCAAATATCGTGACCGTACGTCAAGCGGTTAAGATTTGTGCCCAACTGTTGACGGACGGACGCAAGCACGCACGCTCATGCGATTCTACAAGCTAGGACTGTCATCGATGCCCACTTCATCGATAAATCGCGATGGATTTGCGTCCGATATTGATATCGAAATACATCGAAAAATAGCGATCCAATACAGTATATCACAATAAAGCGTTGGTACATCCTTTTTCTGGTAAAAGAGTGTTGTTTATTACTTTTTGTGGCTAAAATGTAGCCAGCGAAACAGGGCTCGAATTAAGCGGCGAGAAGGGCAAGGCAATTTTTTTAGGGCACGTGAGAAATCGCCTTGAATTTTCTCTAAAATGGAAGGGCACAGAGGCAATTTTAAAAGGCACCAAGGCAACTTTCAAAATTTGAGAAGGGCACCAAGGCACTTTTGTAAAATAAAGGAAAACTCATAACAAATTAGTACATCAACATCGTCTTGCTTTTAATGTACAAAACAATATGCCCCCATGTAAGCTTACACCGTAACACCGACCCTTGTACCTCCCTCTGCTAATGGAAGTACAGTAACAATAAATTTTATATGCCCGCTATCAGGAGTGAATAATTATCCGATGCTGTTATTGTTCCCTCCTGCGACTATCGGTTTTAAGCTCATCATTGCAACTACAGCACGCACGCGCACGTGTTATGTTAATTCGACTAAAAACGAAACTAGGGCAGTAGATTAAAGGGCACCGACGGCAATTACACAAACGGGCAAGGCAGGTGACTGCCGTCGGTCGAGTTGGATTTTCAGGGGCAGTACGGCAATTGATAGGGGCACCGACGGCAATTGCCGTCGGTGCCGTCGGTTAATTCGAGCCCTGCAGCGAAACATCGGTAGCATTTTTGACTAAGCGCCTCCATTATCGGAAGTAGTGCAGGGCGCATGCATGCAGAGACAATCAATAACTGTGGTCTTCTATCGTCTATGGTGCGTATCCTGTCTCACTGATCTCTATAATAAAATCTGTCTACCGTAAATGCATGTCTGCTGCTTCGCCATCGCCAGGTCAATCTGGTTGAATTCAGGTAAATATATAGGTATATACCATTAGCCTATGACGGATACCGTGCGTATATTTTTGGTAATTAATTAAACTATTCGTGCTTCAATATACTCAAAATTCACAGAAACCATAGCTAAGACATGTGTTTACTTGTATCTAGAATTTTAGAAATGTAACTCAAATCGTTCGCAAGTTATTAGAGTTGGGGTGTGTGAAACATCTCACGAGTTAGCCGGCATGGCAAGCTCACCGATCTCCAGGAGGGTGAACTCATCCCACGAGCCGAGCTCACCGATCTCCTGACGCGTCAACTCGCCCAACTGCGGGGGCGAGTTTGGAGGTGGGCCGAGTTGACAGGACCCAGCAGGCTTTCATTTTTAAGGGGCGCGATCGGTTGCGCCGATTATTGTCGGCAATAATACTAATAGGTGAAAGAGAGTATAGAAACATTAAGACTTTGGTAGTAAATAGATTTCGTATTTATTTAGCATTATATTTTATTGAAACGCTCCAAGTGCCTGTGCTCTGGCAGTACCTGTGGACACAGCGGGAAGAAGGGAAAGCACGGCAGGGGCATCACGCTTTAGAATTTTGCCTATCCAACCAGTGCAGTGGCAGTATAGGTACCATACGATTTTGGCATATGCAAATAAATAAGGTGCGTTATCGAAAAAATAATATGCATACCCAGCTCCATCCATTCTCTCGTGATTACTGTGTTCTTTCCCTTCTTGTTTAATTAACTTTTCCGACATGGTGTGACGGGTAAATTGTTGCCTACTAGGCCTACTGGATGACGCGGGTTACTACGCCTTCACAAAAGATTGTGGTAACTCATACAACATGTATTTAGTTTTTTTGTCATTGCTTTATCTTAAGTTATTATACATTATATTACATATCTGTAAAGACAGTTTGTTAATTTCGTAAACCTTACAAAAAATATATACGTTGCAGATAAATAAACTCAATTTTGACTACGTATTAATAAAACACGGTTCCTTATTATCCTTCATACCAAACACCCCCAGTAAAAGACAAAATAGGTCCATGCCAGGTCCATTAAGTGTTTTATTTAATCTGCTTTAGTGAGTTTAGCATTAACGACACTAAGACAATTTAATGTTATTTTGTAAATCATACAATAACAACTTGGCTCTAGTTTAATGAATTTACAATTTCCTGTCTGTTTACTTTTGTTTTAACGGCGGAGTAGTTAATGGGCAGTTTGTACGTGATTAGGTGAGAGAAATCCGCAAACTCCACGACAGATGGCGCTCTCGCTCTGGCTCATTTTTGTTGATTTAAGTGCGGTGCTTGCACTCAAAGAGTCAAACCCTTCCAATTTTAATATTAATATTTTAACATTTAATTCATAAGCAAGTAACTAAATGAATTTAATAAAAACAATGATATATTGAGTCTGCAAACACTAGAAGTAGAAATCAAGACAAACGTAAACATCTAAAGATGGCAGCTTCCGTGATGAAGCAAAATTATTGAGTCAATATTGACATTTGTGTGTAAAATAAATTGTGTATTTCCGCCTAAGCATGGATTCGGTACACAACGTTGGAAGCTTGTCATATGTATCACAACCAGTGAGCATTAGAGAATTTCTCGAGTCATGGCAGAGTGCACTTGCTGATGAACCAATTGTATTGAAAAGGCTGCCTAAAACAAATGTTAAGCAGATTGCGGGAATTATGAATGTGTCTCGGAGTACTGTCCAGGAACTTGATACAGTGTGTGGGTAAGAAACAGACCAATGACAATGTATGAATAATATGTTTCTACTAAAACATGATAAGAAGTGAAGAGTGTAGAAAAATTTGTGATTGTCGAAATAAAGGTGTGATGTCACTACCACTGGTGTCAAAGAAGTAGTTTAGTTACCAGGCTTTCATTTTTAAGGGGCGCGATCGCGCTCCACCGCGCACCCGAAATTGTGCCATGGTGCGCGCATCATCGCGCCTCATAAAAGTGGTTGAAATCGCGCACCAAAAGTATGTTGAAATAGCGCTCCATAGAGTTCTCAATGTAGGGGGGTACAAAAAAGTTAGCACACACAACAATTTGTGGTTGTAAGTAACTGAAGCGTATGGCAGGGGTACAGGTCTGGTTACTACCCTCTGGTTTAATATATATATATATAAATACAACTAAACAACAGCATCCAAATACAGTACCTATAGGCGTAGCCACAAGTTACCTGCTCGTTTTCTACTATACTGGGCGAGAAGTGGTTTTCTGCCGACGTGAAACAGTCGTAGGGCTGGAGGGCTACATACGTGGCTACTACGTACAAGTAATTTGGCTAGTTTGTTGATGGATTGTGATGATATTTTGGGCTGAAATATGCAGGTACATGGATTAGAACTCTAAGGATGGAAATCAGAATAAATAAAACAAGTTTATTTTTACATCCGATCAACTCTTTTATTAATCTGTGTGCTAGTGTTGGGTTGTTGGATGAAAAGAATGTAATCCTGATGAAGCCATTGAATGAATGAAGGTGAAGATGAATGATAATCAGTAGATTGACATGACATCCCAATTTTCGTTTTGGATTTCACTCTAGACTGAGGATTGGTCATGATTCCATCATCACACCCCAAGAGGCATGATGGCGAGCCCTTAAGGAGCTCTCCATCATCCCTTTTAAAGGTGTGATTTTTAGTGGAGCTCTCCATCATGCCTCTTAAGGGTGTGATTTTTTAGTGGAGCTCTTCATCATGCCTCTTAAGGGTGTGATTTTTTAGTGGAGCTCTTCATCATGCCTCTTAAGGGTGTGATTATGCAGGGCCTTAGCTAGGATTATTTTTCCTGTAGCCAAACAATTAGCCAGAATCAATTTTCATTAGCCAATTTGGATTCCTGTTAGCCACGTCTGTAGCCTAACATTTTCTGAACACAAGAAGGCGATAAATAATTTTTCTTTTCTTTATTTTTTCACAAACTTTTATATGCATGAAGTACAAAACTACACTTATTTAATGCAAACAAACTATTATTCACCACCTGTCTATGACTGAGACACTAACACTATGATTCACCACCATGACTCTGAGTCTCTGACTGACTAACAGAGACATTCAAATTGTCTGAATTTTTTTCTTCAATGCTGGCAGGAAAATTGTCTTATCTTTTTTTGCACACCACTGGACATAGCACTTTTCAAAGTCAAACATCTCTTCTTCTGGGCCTTCAATTTTGATGATTAGAATGTCACAAACACTTTCTGTTTTCAGGTTATTTCTCAGAGCTGTTTTAACCAAATTATGTCTGGTAAAACCCCTCTCCACATCAACTGTTGTGGATGGTAGGGTCACAAACAGCTACTTTACAGTACCTGACGCACAATACGCACGCACACGCACGCACGCGCGCAGTACAGTATAGACAGTACTATACACACACTATAGTTATTTACAGTAATACTAATAGTTTACAGAAGAGTTTTCACAGCACATGCATGGTACTCTACTACTTTTGTAACTTCGGGATGCTATTGAACCAGAAAAATTAGCTGCTCATCAAAGCTGACTATATTCCCCAGTTAGTACTTATCAGTTTTACTACTTTTTACAGTACCTCACACACAGTACACACACAAACACACACCTACACGCACGCGCGCACACACAGTCACACACACACGTGCACGCACACGCGTAATAAAAATCATTTGACTTTTGCCAGCGCCGTTGCCGTGCCGTGTCGTGTGTGGAGACAGGCCTTTTTTAAACACCAGGGTTTCTTCTGAGGGAAAATTAGACAACGGTGGTAATGCCCAGTTTGGGGAAAAACGCACATGATGGATTCAAAGGCGTGCAGTAGGCACGAATGTGGATTCTGCAGGTAGACGCGGGAGAGAGAGGTAGAGGGGGTTCTGGGGGTCTCCCCCAGCAAAATTTTAAACATTTGAATGTCTTAGACTGCATTTGATGCACCCCGAAAATAAAATTTCACCCTTTAGTTTAAATCTTACTCTGTTAGCAGCCCTACTAAGTCTCACGCTGCGCATTTCGCGGGAGACTCACGCATCTGGACCCATTCTCCCGCGCTCCCGCATGCCCTACGCATTCACACCAAAGAAAAAAAAACGAAAAAAGCAGCCCGCGACACCCCTGTTACCCATGTCCGTGGCTGTGCACATCGTGGCTCGTGCTTGCTGGCTGGGCGGCATTGATTGAAGTACGGGGGGGGGGGGGGCGAATGCACTGATTGTTACAGTCGCGTGGATGTGGTTATTGCTGTATATGTAGGGGTGTGCACCGCGCTGGTATGAGGTAGAGTACCTACATAAAGACCACATCTTCATGTAGGTACTCTAGTATGAGGGAGCGACAGCAAAACTTTCCCAGAATCGAGGAAAAAGCTGCAATCGGGAATGACACAGGAGTGTGCCGGTACGCAAAAAGAAACGTTGCTGTTTCGACGATCAAATAGGATCGATGTTTGCTGGGTCATGTTTATGATGGGAAAATTACGTTCGTCACTTTTTTCGCCAAATAAGACTTTCAATCGCCAGATTAGTAATTTGTTCGCCATTGGCGAATTGGCGAGTGGGTAGCGAGGGCCCTGATTATGGAGCGTGAAAAGACCCCCTATGGTGTCCTAGGGGAGTCATTAGTAGTCCTCCTGTACTTTTCAAATCTGAAAGCCTGAGTTACTGTACACATAGTACATGCAGTAAAACTCGCGTAAGTCGACATCATCTAAGTCGTCAATTTGCGTAAGTCGACATGGAAGTCAATGTCCCGATTTGCTCTCATAGTAAATCCATTGGAATAGCCCCGCCTAAGTCGACATTTATAAGTCGTCATTATGTACAAGTCCACTCCCTCAGACAGTTCCCATGTAATACAAACAACAGTAATTTCCCATCTGTAAGTCGAGCTGAGAGGGTCTATGTCCCCCAGGGTACTACCGGAACATTCCCTGGGTACGGTCTGGTATACCGGAACTTACCCTGGTACTATCTAATATGCCGGACCGTACCTCGCCTACTCCACAAACGAGTCGCCTACGCCTACTCCCTAACCCTAACCCTAACCATATCAGATAGTTACCAGGGTACGTTCCGGTATACCGGACTGTACCCAGGGTACGTTCCAGCAGTACCTTGGGGGACATAGACCTTATGAGCGTAAGTCGACATCAGAAATGCCGTTTGCGCAGTGAACGGGGGTAGGGAATGCACGAGCTGGCTGTCGCAGACGGATTGTTTAAATCGCATTGTTTGCTTGGACGCATTGTATTTTTTTCCCAGCTCGCACACCCCCAGATTCCCCACTGTATACAGTGTATTATATATAGTGTATATAGTGTATGCAGCCCAATGCAGGGTGCAAAATTAACGCGAGTTCGATTCGAGTCAAATACTCCCTGATTTACTGTTGGACTCCCTGATTTGACATATGCAGGAGTCCGTGTGACTCCCTGAAAATACAGTGTATACACGCATTACATACATTGTATAAGTCGACAAAATGACGACTTGCACGTAAGTCGTCACTTTCGTAAGTCGACACAAATATGCTGGTCCAAAAAGTGTCGACTTATGCGATTTTTACTGTACCACCTTATAATATAACAATGTAGGCCTATACAATGTCAATTGTAACCCAACAAGAGTAGGGTTACATTATTGTATCTAATAATCTACACTACCACCTTAGCTCTAATCTACTGTACCGACATGAGCTTTCCGTCAGTGTCATAGTAGTACAGTCACACATGTATACAGGGGAGGACGGTGCCTGTGACAACAACCCCTGGCTGTTAATACTACACCTTTAATAGTATCCTTCCTGGAGCAGAGCTCAATCCTAGTTGTTTGGAACCACTGCCCTCATTTTCGCAAACGTGCTAAACTAGGATTGGATCGCGAAGCATGGTGTTACATAGGTAGAGTAATGTCAATGAAGTAGCCAGAGCAGGCTGTGAGACTAACGTTACTACAGTTCAACGGTCTTTCGATTTATAACCATTTTTTGGTGCTACTATTAAAATACCTCTAAGACATGGCCATCCTTCGATAAGACATGTATCTTGCTGCTAGTCTGTATATATATTTCTTCCGATATGCATTACAGAATAGATACACTGAAATGTCCAGGGCAAGTGAAGGTTAGAGACGATGCCACATCGACTATACCTGATGATACAGAGCTAGTTACACTCAGGTGGGTACCACTGTTACATATCTTTATTCGTCAGCACAGAATTTGGACAGGTTGGGTTGTGATATAACAGGACAGCACAGGATAGTGACATGTGCATGTGTAGCGTGATAGGCTGAATGTGTTAATGCAATACATTTATTACAAATTTGAAACACCACCCTAGCTGATACTGTATGTGAGCTTCAACTTGTTGCATACATATAAAAGTAGCATCATTGTTTTTTTTTATGTTGGAATGTTGGAATTACATTATATATTCCTGCATTTCAGATGTGTACCTTATTGTGTTAAGGCTGAATTCTAAGCAAAAAGCTCATGTTGCATTATAGATTGCGAAAGTCAGAACTGGAAAAAAGGGCCAACAGCAAAACTTACACACACCGCCTTTATGCAACGTTCAGGAACCATCGAAGTGTCATGCGCACTCGGGTAGGTTTAACGCAACAGTAACTGTCTGTATATGCCCTGTGATATTAAATTTTCATTGCACCTCGTTTTGTTTTTCTACTAAAACTGTTACCATGTTAGTAACCATCGATACTGCAAATATAAATGCCCATATTATTTGTGTTGACCTCGGTCAAACACAAAAACGGTTTTCTGAAGTGCATGTGTTCATGGGAGGCTAAAGTTTTCAATGGAAATGTAGTGAGATTTAGGGAGATTTTTTCCCCTCTTCCGCTAACACATCGAAACCTGAACATGTATTTTCTTTTCTTTTTCCAGGTGCCTGGCGACAAACTAATACCCATGACAGTGCGTGATGTTGTCATCTCTGTTCAGATTTATCGACCATTCGTCGGTGAGCAGTCCTGCAAATACAAACCTGTGAGCTCATTTGAACTTTATCTGTAGTGTTGCTAGAAAAGAATATTTCTCATAAAAGGTTTCATTGAATGAATTAGGTTCTCATGTAAAATTTGTGTGCATGTGTGTATGTGTCCATGTGTGCAGTGGTGCGCCCACGTGCCTGAGTGCATTGTTTTCATAATGTTATAATAATAATCATCTATATTATATCATTGCCTCCGCCAAGAGGTTGGCAGGAGGTTATGTTTTCACCGGCGTGTGTTTGTTGGTTTGTGCGTGTACAGCCTAACTGGAAAAGTTATGGACGGATTGTCATAAAATTTTCAGGATAGGTCAGAAATGGGGTAACTTAGAATTGATTACATTTTGGTGGTGATCCGGATCCAATTAATTATTTAATTAATTAATTAATTAATCAAATTTTTCACAGTGAGAGAATTGAGCTGCCTTGGCAGAGGTCTGTGCTCTCCGAGTGCTCTAGTTCCTGATAGTCTGGTATTCCATAGTAACTCCTGGAAATAAAAATCGGTTGTTGCAACAAATTTTTTTAATTCACATGGTTTTAAATGTGAGTGTGATTTTGGTAACACTTCCTTATATTTCTAGAAAAGAGCAATCGTAAACTCTATTCAAGTATATCTATGAAGCAAATTCTAACATATGTTTACCTCGTCGGCATATTCCTATTGGGAATTTTGTTTGTTGTACAGCACAAATGTTAACTAGTGCTTTGCTGGATCTAAGAATGGGTCAGCAGTGGTGCGAAAAACCACCAGCTAATGTGGGGGGAGTGCATGAGCTCTGAAGCTCCCCAGCAGTGTTTACCCAGCGCCTGAAATGGACGGTCGCCCACTCGCCACAGGCGACCAATGTCTAGCTCGGGCGACCGAAAATTTCACAAGTCAAGTAGTCACTTGCCCCCCAAAAAAAGTTCGGGCGACTGCCAATATTTCAACACAAACAAATTTACTGATATGTTTGAGTTGTTCTTTGTTTACTATTAACTAATCATAATCCTAAACCGGAGTCCACGCTAGGATACAATCAGACCAAGCTCGCGCATTTTCGTTCCGACCGAGCTTGGTGACAGCGGGGTAGACTGGTACTCTTCGACTCTCCCGCTATACACTGCAAACATACATGTCTAGATGCGTTGTCTGGCTAGCTTGATACAATGTATAACATCACATTTATGTACATGTATCGCTAACCTGAGCCCACCCTAATCGGCCACGCTTGCTTATACGCTTGTATGCTATGCCGGCTGTATAACACCAGGGAATAATTTTCCCGGTATCGCATCGCAATTCGCGATGTATTTTCAGCCATTTGCTACGCATATTTTTTTATGAATCGCAGTTGTGCGATGTAGCCCATGCGAGATGTAAACGGAAACATACATGTTTACAATTTGCTTTTATCTCTCGGGTGCTTTGCGCCCGTCAATGAATGCACGTTTGACGCGCGTTTTATTGATTGTAACCAGCACGTGATTGTTAACATCCCCCCCCCTCCCGCTCATTCACCATATGCGACCCCCGGCACGTATCACAGGCACGCTGTGCTGGCATGCACCTGGTCGCGGGCTGCTTCTTCGCGACCTTTGATAATTATAAAGTAGGATTCCGGGGTGGTCGGGGAGTCGGATATGCCGCCTTACAATCGCTAGAAACTGTATTATTAAGTTTTAGACATTATTTTTCTCGAAACATGGTGCGAGTTCGCTTGCTCCACCGTGCCCGGTCCCCGATCTTATTTTCACTCGGCATTGCCGATCCGCGGTGCGAGTGCCAAGCTCCGGCGCGCTGTTTAAACGCTGTTTAATTTTTTTCCCGACGAGGGTCCGGACCCACTGCTGATAGTGTGTTGTATATATGCGTGCGTGCTTATTATAAGAAACCTGGGGTTGGCATTTGTAGTGTTTTAGGTCTTCGGTTCTGGTTAGGGTTAGGTTAGGTTTAGTGGTGTATAATTTCTACATTGTTGCTTTGAGGAAGTCGATGTGAATGGGGCGCTGATTGGCTGGGGTCCCGGACTCTCGTGGGAAAAATGTATCCGCTGCGCCGCTGGCATGTACAGAATCGTGCTGTGCCTGCCCAGGCGACAACGATCAACAGCGCAAGCAGGCACTGGCGCGTGTATAATTTGCTGTGCATTGCTCTGAGAAGATGCTTATACATTTTTCAATTGGCTATGCTCTCTCTTCTCTCGCTATAGACTTCTGCTATGCATTTTGTTTGGTCTGAAGAATCTCGTTCGCTGAACCACTCCTCTATGCGCCTGGCTCAGGATGTCTGCTGTATAAATTTGCGGGCTTCCGCATGCATTTGGCGGCAGTGACTAACAGAATTTACTCGCTTTGTCCTGTAAAATGTCGGTGCAACCTTCGGTGTGCTCGCGCCCCCATTTTGCTCGACGGCCAGATGTTTACCTCGTGATTTTGATGGCTTTGTGTATGACATTTATTTCTTGACTTTTAGTAGTGGAGCATGTAACTTTTAAAAAACTCAGTTTAAGTGCTCGTAAAGGCATGTGCTTCCTTTTTTAGCTTCGTATCTGACGAATGTCATATGTGCTTGTAGCATCGGCCGATGGCGTGCGTCGTTCGTGCGTCCCGTCGTGCGTTCCGGGTCACAGTTGGGCATATCTAACGCTCGACGTCGGATTCGAAAGTTGGGACGTGGGGGGTATTCCAAAAAACGAGTTGGGTATTGTTCGAAGTGCGGGGCGGGTCAAGGGTCAAGGTCAGAGGTGTAAAGAATGGGGACATTCCCTCCTTAACTTAAGGTATAGGGAGGAAAGTGCGAATTGCGGCACAAATCTAACGGCTCGACCTAGGCTCGTGTATAGTCCGGCGGTGTATAGCATCATTGGTGGGAAAGCTCCTGTGCCGAATTGGAGGTCTACAGGGGTAGTCATGGGGCACAGTGGCGCGATTTTATACATTTTTTCTGGAGGACCTGCGGTCGTTGACGGACCGATGAACAACTTTTTTGTTTCAGCGCGTGACCTCCTTTTATGGCCTTTATTAAAAGGACATGAATGTACTTTCGCTGGACATGCGAGTAGAGAGTAAGTGTCTCGGCATACCTTTTGACTCTCAAAAGGAGGTAGAACATTTGATTTGTTGATTGGTTAAGCAAGGGACTGAACTGCTTTTGCTATTTTTGAGCCTACTGTGTAATGTGAGGCTTACCGGTTGCACGGTTAATTGAAGGCAAGTGTTTGGTGTGAACAAGGTTTATCTCCTATATATCTATTTTTTTGAAAGCAGTCGTTATTAGCACCCGACAGGGCCTGTCAGGGTGAATGCTCCTGTGGGTATGCAACACGGTGGCAACCATGGGTGGGCTGCTTCTACTAATTGTGGCCTGCCAACTCTGCCAATGCACTGTGTCTGCTATGCATAGAGATTAGGTGGGTGCGAAAGTGTAGCTGATATATTTGTTCCAATTGGCTACGAAAGTCAAACAAGAATAAAGAAGACTTATGTATAAGACGTCTTGCTATGCACAAATGAATTTATCAGCAGAACACCAGACACCAGATGAGCCCTGTCGCACTGCAGCACTTGTTTCTCACTTATTCTGGTATTTGATTCTTGGACTTTGGAGAGCACGGCCCTGAGAGTGAGTGTGCTTATCAATAAATTAAATAATATCATTAGTGCTTTATGTGACATTTAGAAATATTCGGGATTTTCTCCGTTTGCTGACAGTTGGTGCTCGACCAGGAGTTGAGAGTGCTGGGCCAGCAAAAACTGACAGATCTGAGGGATGCGATCACGTGCGTGGCAGACATAGCTCTACCTGTCGAGATGTCAGTGAACCCTGACATGCCGGTCAACACTCGCTGCAAGGTATGTGTAGCTGCCATCAAAATCTCTCCCCGCGCCCCGCTAATACACCCTGTGCAGAGTGGAATAACTCTCACGCGAGTGTAGTCAGCAATAGTAGTAGCAGTATAGCTAGGTTATTAACATATATCGATATAAAGTAATCGAATAGAATAAAGATGACAGAAGAATAATAATTGCAGAAGCAATAACAATGAGCCTTGAATGAAGCGGAAACTAATCTTGATTGAACAGATCTGATGATACAAACCGCAAAATCCGAGCAAATGTCAGGATAAGTCTTATATGGGTTGCTTTGACAAATCCTTTCACCAAGCTAGTACAGTGCAGAAACGGGTGTGTGGTCACAATACTTGGATCGAAATTTAAGTTGCAGCAACTAGATTAGAGGCCGTAAGTCTGTGGGCCACGTTGGGTTTAACCAGAGTTCGTATGGGTTCCGGAAGACGTGGAAAGTGCTATTTACGCTGCCAGGGTCTATGTCTCCCTGGGTACTGCCGGAACGTACCCTGGGTACGGTCCGGTATACCGGAACGTACCCTGGCACTATCTAATATGGCGAACCGTACCTCGCCTACTCCACTAACGAGTCTAGGGAGTCGCCTACGCCTACTCCCTAACCCTAACCCTAACCCTAACCATATTAGATAGTTACCAGGGTACGTTCCGGTATACCGGACCGTACCCAGGGTACGTTATGGCAGTACCCATGGAGACATAGACCCTATCAGCACTATTTACGGTCAGCCATGCAATGAAGCTTGCTTGAAACAAGAGTTCCCTTGTTGTTAATGGGAAGCTGCAAGGCACAACAATTGTATTTGGCTTAAAGGAATAATAGGTTAATTGATTATGCAATGTTGACGAAAGCTAGAGTAACTGGCACCTTGTGTAGTTAATAAGTACATAATCTTATAGCCTAACACGTATTAGTTTGTCCAATATCACTGCTGGTTACATTACAAGCAAGACTTGAAATTGGTTGTTGATGTTCATTTACGTGCCGTAAATGTCATCCAGGAGTCAAGCGATAAGTCGCCGATGACATAAACATTTGTGCGGCCCGTATGTTTTGACGGCCAGATGAAATGGAGGTGTCAGCGGTGTAACCACGGCTACGGACTAAACATGAAATGGAGTAAAACACAGCTACTAATCACGGACGCACATGGACAGCCCTGACAAAAGTTTCTTATTCACGAGCGTCCGTGTTTACGAAATCACTGATGATAGAATTGCGTACGGCCGAGCATGCGTGCGAAAATGTCCGGTGCACTATAAATCTGTATCACACCCGCTTCGCCGGCAGCGGTTTGAAACTGTAAACAACTCAGTCAACTTGATTTCTTGGACTGCGGATTTCAATTAGACATTTCTTAGTAACCAGCAGTGATGTTGGACAAACTAATACGCGTTTGGCTATAAGGTAATGTACTTATTAACTACACAAGGTGCCAGTTACTCTAGCATTCGTCAACATTGCATAATCAATGGACTAATTATTCCATAATTATGGGATCCTGGAAATGTCTGGAAAATGTCTGGAAAAGTCTTTAGGCTGCGTGGAAATCCTGTTGGTACTATATATATATCATATATTATATATCAATATAATCAGGAGTGTATAATATAGAGATATATACTCTATATTGTACACTCCTGATATTATGTATACATGTACCTAGGATTTGAACTTATTCCATTTGCATTAACCCTATGATGTGTCATAGAACGTTGTAGGAATAAAATGGCGGGTGTTTCATATTGTACTGTGAAATGTTTGAACCGTACAAGTATTCTCATCATCTTTCATAGGACATCTATCCATCTGGCTTCTTCTACATCAACGGAACCTTCTTCAATGATTTACGCCACCCTGAAGCTAAAGATCTGAGCAGGTATTTTCATCTGCTGGTTATGGTGCATTGCACATACTTGACAATACGTGTATGTGTGAAGGGAGGGTAGTTGATGAGTTGATCATTGCATGTGGTATATTTTTATTATTTGATTATCAATATATGTATGAATTTTATTACATAGTCACATATTCTATTTGAAAGTTGACCGATTATACAAAAATATAATTTATTGAGATCGAGATTATTGTTCATTGCTGTTGTTAACATTGTTGAACATTGGGGTTTCATGGTCATTACACATGTTAGCTCAGGTGTGAGCAACTAGTCCAATGTAAGTGGAATGATGTGAGTGCACGTATCAATTACGACATGTATTTTGGTTGGTAACATTTAGTATTGTGAGATTAGACATATTCTGGAAAAAAAACTGTTCTCAAACGTAGGTATGGTTGTGATTCATGGAAAAAAATTAAAAAACACGATTGTTGATTTGTCTGGTGAAAAGCAATTAACGTTAATGCTTACTGATCGTCTATGTAATTTGCATCGACCGAATTCAAGCATCTTCTTGGGTTTCCCCCTCTATCGTACAGCTGACAGTGTTAATTACACGATGATAGTTAATATGATAGTAATTAACGTTTTTTTGTTATGGTAAGTATTACTTAATTGTGGCGTTGGAATCGTTCACGTGATTATTTGCTGCTGCAGCGTCATTCGGACGTGGGGAGCGACGAGACCCAATCAGATCGGTGAGATGAGGGAGGCGGCCATGGAGGACACGCAGTTCCTCGACTTGTCCCTGCGCGTCGGCCTGCCATACCTCTATGTCCACCAGGGGGACTGTGAGCATCTCATCGTGTTCACTGACATTAGGTAGAGCAACAGCGCCCCCTACTATTGCCCCTCTTAGTACTGCAATAGCTTTGTGACTTTACAGAGCAGATGGTCAAGCCTCTATCGTCAAAACAATTTTAGCAACCACCTCTATAGAACGTACATCTATCTATAACGGACACATTGTGGCAGTAGTTATACTGTGAAATCGTCTCTATACAATGGCCACCTATTTATAAGGGTCACTTTAGGTTTCCCTTGAGGAAGCTTTATGTACAGGTTCAACTGTAATTATGTTGATCATGTTCTGAAATGATCAAATTACGACTTAACTTTACATGTAATGTAAGTGTCTGCAATAATACTGTCACATTTGGTTCAACATTCTTAAATAGCTCCCTAAGAGTATATTATGCACAAAACCAATGCAGAATACAATGCAGTTATTAGATAGTAAATTCAGTCGTATTTATTCGAGTGCAATGGAGATACATTTCCAGCAGCATATTATTTTATCTTCCAAATCAGCATTGTCTCTAATGCGTGTTTCTTGTGTTGTAATTTGTGTAACGTCATTTTGAACTGTAGACAAACCTCACTATTACCCAAATATTGGCAACATGGAACCGAAATGAGAGAGGTGATGGAATTAGCCGTAGCAGGGAGCTACAAGAGAATTTCTGGCACTGTTTTAGGATGATGAATATTGAGGATTCGTCTGACGTCAGTAAATACCCTATTGTTAGCAGCAACGTGAGCAAGAAGAGAACCGTGTGCATCGTATGCCTGCTGTACAACGCGAGGTATGCTGCTGAGTTCTTTGTTTCTCGTAATCTGTAGCAGTTCTTCTGAGGAGCCGACTGTTAAACTAGGCTTGAAAGGGGGGACATATTCATACGTATTTGCTGCGTTCATAGTAGAGTGTAGTAATCTGTACATATATGAGCCCTATTCAGTAGGATACCAGAAAAAGTGAAAAATAGGAGCGACAATTATCGCACGACGTCGAAAAGCGACAAGATATTGGAAATTGTCTTGCCGACATCACCCCGCCGATCTCGCCCTGTTTACAGCCATGTTCGAGAGGGGCTGCAGTGCTGCGCGAGTGCCTAACGAGAATGAGGTAGAATCGTGCGGGTGTGGCCTGACACGTGAGTGATGTTTGTTACAGGTGGGTGACGTACGACGACTGTCTGTGCTCGCAGAGTCCGGCATTCTTCTGCGACGCCTGCTTTCGTGAGCTTCACTACGACAGCAGCGGCACCAAGCTCGGGCCTTTCACTGCCTACAGGTTCTACGACAAGAACGCCGTGCTGCCGTAGCCAGCAGGGGGCGCCACCCCCGTACATCAATCAATATGCCGCCCCAGGCACGTATACACAGCCACGCTGTGCTGGCACTGCACGCTGTCGCGGGCTGCTTTCTTCGGCGACCTTTGATAATATAAAGTTAGGATGTCGTGGTCGAGGAGTCGGATAGCCGCCCTTCACAATTGCTAGAACTGTATTTATTAAAGTTTTAGACAATTATTTTTACTCGCCAACATGGGCGAGTCAGCTTTAGCTTCCACTCGCCCGGCCCGATATTATTTTCACTCGACATTGGCGAGCGGGCGAGTGCCAAGCTCGCGCGCTGTTTAAACGCTGTTTAAATTTTTTTTCCCACGAGAGTTCCGGACCCACCACAGATAGTGTTTTGTAATATATGGTGCGTATATTATAAGACAAACCTGGTTAAATTATAGTTAGTGTTAGGCTTCGGGTTCTGGTTAGGGTTAGGTTTAGGTTTAGTGTGTATAAATTTTACATTGTTGCTTCGAGGAAGTCGAGTGAATGGAGTGCGCTGATTGGCTGGGGTCCGGAACTCTCGTGGGAAAAATTTCGCTGCCGGGCAGTGTACAGAATCGCTAGCTGTGCCTGTCACAGGCCGACACGATAACACGCCAAGCATGCACTGCGGTGTAAATTTGCACTGTGATTGTCTGAAAAGAAATGCTATACAAATTTATACAATTGCTATGCAAAGTTTATTTTGTATAGCACATTTGCTATGCAATTTTTTGGCTGAAAATTGTTCCCTGAACACACTCGCTCTATGCGCACTGGCTCAGATGCTCTGCTGTATAAAATTTGGGCTTCCAACAATGCATTTGGGCCAGTGACTAAAAAAATTTACTCGCCCCAAAAAAAAATGTTGGGCCAACCTTCGGCTGGCCCCCATTTCAGGCACTGTTTACCTGTGAATTTTAGTGCTTTGTATGACAATTTATTTCTGAACTCTTCTAGTAGTGAGCATTAACTTTAAAAACTACAGTTTAAAATGCTCGTAAAGGACTGCTTCACTTTTTTAGCTCATCTGACGAAGTCAGATGTAGCTTGTAGAATCGCATGAGCGTGCGTCCGTCCGTGCGTCCGTCCGTGCGTCCGTCAACAGTTGGGCACAAATCTAAACGGCTCGACGTACGGATTCGAAAGTTGGGACGTGGGGGGGTAATCCAAAAACGAGTTGGGATGTCGAAGCTGGGGGGTCAAAGGTCAAAGGTCAAGAGGTGTAAAAGAATGGGGAACATTCCCTCCTTAACTTAAGGTATAGGGAGGAAATGCAGAATTGCGGCACAAATCTAAACGGCTCGACCTAGGCTCGTGATAGTCGGAGGCTTACACATACCTTGCAGCGAGTGTTGAGCGGCATGTCAGGGTTCACTGACATCTCGACAGGTAGAGCTATGTCTGCCACGCACGTGATCGCATCGCCTCAGATCTGTCAGTTTTTGCTGGCCCAGCACTCTCAACTCCTGGTCGAGCACCAACTGTCAGCAAACGGAGAAAATCCCGAATATTTCTAAATGTCACATAAAGAAGACTAATGATATTATTTAATTTATTGATAAGCACACTCACTCTCAGGGCCGTGCTCTCCAAAGTCCAAGAATCAAATACCAGAATAAGTGAGAAACAAGTGCTGGGCAATGCGACGGGCTCATCTGGTGTCTCGGTGTTCTGCTGATAAATTCATTTGGTGCATAGCAAGACGTCTTATACATAAGTCTTCTTTATTCTTGTTTGACTTTCGTAGCCAATTGGAACAAATATATCAGCTACACTTTCGCACCCACCTAATCTCTATGCATTGCAGACACCATGTGCATTGCAGGTTGGCAGGCAACAATTATGATTAGAAGCATGCCAGCCATGGGTGCCCCGTGTTTTGCATAACCCACAGGAGCATTCACTGATTCAGCCTTCAGGTTGGCTATAGACAGACTGCTTTAAAAAATAATATGATTTAAGGAGAGTAAACCTTGTTCAACAAACATTTGCCTTTGCAAATTAAACTGTGCAACTGTAGCCTCACAATTTACACAGGTATGGGCTCTAATAATAGCAAAAGCAGTTTCAGTCCTTTGTTAACAATCAACAAATCAATGTTTGACCTTCCTTTTGAGGGTCAAAAGGTTATCCGACACTTACTCTTCTACTCTTCGCATGTCAGCGGAAAGTACATTTCATGGTCCTTTTAATAAGGCCATAAAAATGGTAGGTCCACCGCTGAACAAAAAAAGTTTTCAATCGTTCCGGTCACACCTGTCCTCAGAAAATGTATAAAATCTGCCCTGTGCGCCATTGATCTTTGACGCTGTGACCTCCAATTTCGGCAAAAAAAAAAAAAACAAAAAGTGATGGCTTTCCTACCATGATGCTATAGCACTG